GACAACCGGGGCAAGCTACTGCGGGACCAAGTCACCCCCATCTACGGGGACAGGATGAGCGCTGTAAGTGCTCCCATCATTTTATGAGTATAAAAACCATTCCATCGGTAACAACCAATCGACAAAAGCGACAATTTTTAACGATAAGAAAGTGTCTTTAAAACCGGTCCAAGTCAAGGGATTATTAAATATAGACATAGTTTATTTTGAAACCTCTTTCAAAAGGAAAGGCAATATTTACCCAGATAAATACAATGACATATTAACAGAAACTTCGGGAAAGCAGACAAAACCTAAAATAAGGTTTAAAACGTTACTATGAAGAAAGGAAAGTTAATGCAAAGATAAGGACATGCGTCGCTCACTCATAGATATATATGCTGCTAGACTTCTACTGCTTGAACATATATGCAACACACCGCGGTTTCTTGGAAGCAAAATGCTCAATAACGCGCTGATTAAAGTCATGCATCCCAGAAATAACGTCTCTGTGAATGGATAAAACAGCCAAGGAATTTAATCTATCTTGCTTCATTGTGTTCCTGAGATACGTTTTAATACGCTTCAGCGTGCTGAATGTTCGCTCTGCGTCGGCGGAAGAAATAGGCGTCGTCAAAATGATGTCCAGAAATTTTGCAGACGCCGCAAAGGTATTTACTAGAGTGTTATCTATGAGGAACCCATAGAGCGCGCAAGTTGATGTGATGTTCAAAAAAGTTTGATTGGTGTATATACATTGTAAAGTTGGAACGTGAATTCCAATCCACTCAACGATGTTGTAGTGGAGTCCTATTTGCACCCGCACCCGCCTTGAAGAATTATGCGCAATCTCCCAGCTTCTAGTAACTGCACAACCAAAGTAAAGAGGCAACGAGATCCTTAGAAAACGAACTGTATTCATTAATCTCCACATATGAGTAAAATGTTGCTACAGCACAGAAACTTGAAGACCAACGATAAAACTAATTTATAACGACACGCATGCACTATAAACAACCAATGAAAGAATGACAAAACAACATTCACAATGACAAGCAATAATAACCAATACTAAATAGGACCTAACTGAGCTAAATTAATAGAACAGATTTCACGAAACCCGCACCCGTAATGTAAACTATATCCAAGACAAATCTCAATACCAAACGACACTTTCGCAATCCCACAGTGCCGTATAAAACAAAGAGTCAGAAAGCGTTATCTCAAAACCCGGGGAAAAGTTTCACTCCCTATTTCTTCACTATGGCGCAATAATGAGTCACCGTCAACAGCAAATCAAGATAATAAAGATAGAAAATAATTCGTCTGGGATTGGTAATATAATAGAGAAATATAAATGGACAAAAGTAGGAGGCGTGCGAGGTCAAATCTAACATACATCGCAATTCATTTTCCAATTTACCCACGTTTATCATGGGGTAAAATTTGGAGACAGTAGCCAACAAATGGATGGGAAATTGACGTGCTAATTTTGAAAAATTTTTGGGGTTCATCAAAGAGAACGCGGCAAGGTGTTCAGTGCGCAGACGATCGCCTATTTGATTCACCAGAATGTCACAGCATTCCTTTGCAGACAAAATCAAACGCTGCGTTGTTTGCCCGCGGCGTAAAGAAGCACTCCATGTGTCGTCGTATTTTATTGTTTCCCGGATACGAGATACAGCATCGCAGAAGTCTGAAATACACGACTGCACAGACGCTCCATCCATTAGCCTTGACTGCAATGCGCCGTATAATACATCCACGTGATAGAATATTGTGGAGAAAAAAGCGAGAAAAAATGAAAACTCACCATCTTCTAGCAGACGCTTTAGACCTGCCGCCTCCCTCACAGAGCGTTCGTCCCAAACCGGAGAGCTCTGAATGCCATTGAAACACTCAATGAGCTCAGACCTAATTTCGGACACGCCCTGCACCACGCGTGATTGGAAGTTCCAACGTGTTGGTGCACAAGCTGGGAGACGGCGGCTACATATCTGGCGAAGGAGGTCAGAGCGCTTCGGCCAAATGGAAAAAAATGAAGAAAACCCCAAAACATTTGCAAAATATATACGGACGAGAGGGGTATCAAGACACATATTTTTAATACCGAGGTTAAATTGGTGTGCATAACAATGTAAAAAATGCGCATGAGGAAAATCTTCTTTTATATAAACTTGAACACCATGTTTCGACCCACTCATAACTGCCGCGCCGTCATAAGTTTGAGCTATCAATTTTGACTTCGCGTTGTAAGGCTGTAACACTTCTTTCAGTACAGCCGATATCCCGCAAGCCGTGCGATCAACGATTGGTACAAAGCTGTGAAATCTCTCGGTAGGTCCACCATCTTTCACAAACCGAAAAATCACAGCCAGTTGGGAAACGCACGTGATGTCAGTTGTCTCGTCAGACTGAATCGAAAGGAACTGGCAATTCTCAATTTCCAGAGCCAAATGTTGTAAATAAATTTTATACATTGAGTCGAGCAAATCATTTTGGATATCCTTAGATGTTCCTTTCGAAACAGTTGCGGCATCAAGATGATCTCTCAATACTGTATCTAGGGATGCGGTGTATTCCACCATATCCAAAAATACCCCTCTATTAGAAGAGCCAGCCCGTTCATCGTGCCCAAGGAGGGACAGCTCGTGACAACCAATGAACTTCAAAACATCTATCAATCGACCGAGAACATGGCGGTTTTTCTCGACGTTTTGGTTGTGCCGACGAATAGAAACCGCGCGTCCTTCATCCAACTGTGCTGCAATATTAACATTTCCGAATGTTCGATATTTTACTGCATTGTCCAGTTGCTCCATAGAAGATTGATGATCCCTGGCACGCTCGGAAAGATGTTTAAGATCTCTAAAACCAAATTTACACCAACGTGAGTCACGGGCGGTAGCAAAAAGTAGGCAATAAAAACAAAAAAGTGCATTTTTGTCCTCGCTGTAACACTACCATTCGTGTTTTTTATACCAAGTTTCTGCGCAGAATGTACGCCGACGCTTTCCTCCGTCACGGGATTGTTCCAGTGAACAACAACAATCAATCAGGCCATGATCGTGTACCTGTGTATCTAATTAAAATGCTAGATGAAATAATATCTCAGATACTGAATGTTTTCTTTAATCATAGTCTTAATTTTGGTATTTTTCCTGAATGTCTAAAAATTGCTCGAATTGTACCAGTATATAAATCTGGCAGCAAAAGCTCAGTATCCAATTACAGGCCTATATCAATACTATCCTGTTTGTCAATAATTTTTGAAAAATTAATTCATGTAAGATTAAAAAACTATCTTGATAGATTCTCTATCATTACCAGTAGTCAATTTGGGTTTAGAGATGATTATTGCACCACATATTCCATTTTGGATATTTTGTCAAATTATCATGAAATTATATCGAAGAAATATTTTGGCTGCAGTGTATTCTTAGATTTGAAAAAAGCTTTCGATACTGTAGACCACAAGATACTACTTGCAAAATTGAATCATTATGGCATACGCGGTGTGGCCAATAATCTTTTTATGTCATATCTAAGTAATAGATTGCAATTCGTCAGCATTGATGCCTCAAATTCAAGTCTTGCTCCCATACTATGTGGCGTTCCACAAGGTTCTGTCCTTGGTCCAACTTTGTTTTTAACTTTCATTAATGACATAGTAAATGTTTCAAAATCTTTTCTGCGACTTTTCGCTGATGACACCAGTGTGACAGCTTCTTCCAAAACTCTGGCACATTTGGAGAATGTCATGAATTTAGATCTCCAGCATATTCAAAACTGGATGTCGTGTAATAAGTTATCTGTTAATCCAAATAAATCTAAAGTTCTTATTCTAAGCCCTGGAAACAAAGAAAATAAAAACTTTGGTAATGTTGAATTATTTCTTAGTGGAACTCGTTTATCAGTGTGTACCTCTGTTAAGTATCTTGGTATTTTTATTGACCATGGTGTGACATGGCAAGAACATCTCAATCATTTATCTAGTAAGCTGTCAAGGGCTGTTGGTATTTTAATCAGGCTCAAAAATTATGTGCCATTAAGTGTTTTACGAACTGTTTATTTTGCAATTTTTCATTCTTCAATTCAATATGGTATTGTCTTATGGGGTTCGGCATCAAAAACTTATTTAAAGCCAATTGGTGTTCTCCAAAACCGCGCTGTCAAGACTATATCTAATGTGCCGTTGCGAACTAGACTTAGTCCACTATACAAAAAATTGAATATTTTGAAACTGAATGACTTATTTCACTATGAAATAGGGAAAATTATGCATAAATTCTCCTCAGGGAGTTTACCTGAATCGTTTGCGTCATATTTCACCGATTGTAGTAGCCAATATTCGTATAATACACGATCCTCTTCAAAAAATTCATATTTTATTCCAAGAGCTGACACAAAATTCTCTCAAAAATCAATCAAGTTCACTGGTCCAAAAATTTGGAATCAAATTCCTGAATCTATTAGATTGGCTTCCTACGTGAAATTTAAGAAAAGTTACCTAAATTTTTTGGTTAAGAACTACTAGAGTATACCGGTAGTTACAATAATCAATAATGATAAAAATATGTAACTGCCCATCATATAATTGTCACATAGCCACTGTTTGCTTACAATATTTCAATTTTCAAATCTATTTTGAATATTTTCTACAATTCACCTATTTTTTCTGGTACCTCTTATTTTTTTACATTATTTTTTTCATAGTGAGAGTATACTTCATTTAAATATTTGGTAGTTAACTAGTCGACGATTACTTTATATTTATTTTTCTCGATAATTATTTGGCTGGAATGGGTGGTGGCTGACTTTGATGACCTTTGGTCGTATCGCCATCTCCCAGTCTATACCAAAATAAATGCTGTTTAATTTATTATACTAAAATTTATTTTTTATTTGGTTGACAAAAATAATAAACTCTCTCTCACTCTCTCTCAAGTGGTGATATGATCCCACTAGGCGGTGATAAAGATCAGGTAGTCGAAATACTGTATAATAACAAACAAAAGCTGATACCGGGCTTTTGATACCGCGTAACGTAAATCTGTAAATATCGAATTTTGGTAAGGCACTGTGTGCTTTTTGCAGTTTTGTGGATAAGGTAGAGGTAGGCTAGCGGTTTATAATTCAATACCTCATAGTATAATCAGTTTGTCTCGGACTTTTTGGCAAACCAATCCTATTTGCGGCATAATGGGATGTGACGGTGGCACCATACCAAAAAGACATGAACTTGTCAGAACAAAAAAGAAAGCTGAACAAAAAGACAAGAATGCAGATCTTGTTGCAAAATGGAAACACTGTGCCTTGTCTAACGAGATATTGATAGAACCAATAGTTGCTTGTGAGCTTGGAAGGTATGTTCTCTATTATTATTATTTCAGTCTATGGTTTAATAAATTCTGAAATCACTGATTTTCAGATTTACTTTCCAGTTTTTCTGAATTCTGTGATTCTTGGCTGTAGAGATTTCTTGAATCGCGGTGCTGAATTAGGCTGCTCGATATTTTAATATCTGATTAAACAAGCAAAATAAATAGAATAAACAAGAAATGTACTGTATCGTATATTACAGCGATATTGGTACAGACTTATAAAAATTACCGGTACAGACTTATTAAAATTTTACTAAAATTTTTATTTCTGAATGTACAAAACCAGTAAACCTATAAACTGGAGATCAAATCAAAATTAAAAAATTGCTTAGATTTTGATATATTCCCTTCATTTTTATTACAGGCAGTACCAGTAACAGTAATGCCTACTTTTTATTATTATAGCTCACTATTTATAATGTTTCTAAAATTGTTATCCACGGTCAATTGTTTTTACCTATTTTTGGCACACTATTCATATCGAGAGACATTGTCTCGTTTCAGAAAATCCTATTTTGCCGATGTGATTAATTTAAATTATTATCAAGGAAAAGTGACGCGATATGACGCATCTGCCGTTATACAGGCTCAAATGATTGAGTCACTTTTACGCAATACCATACCCAGACAGGTTTTTAATCATGGTTTTAGAAATTATGTCATACGGCCCTCGCTTGTGAGACACATGGAGTGTTTGTTTTATTGAACCAAATGACGGGACATTCTTGAAATTTGGAAATCGTGTGTGGTGTTAGTATTTCTTTACAGTGTAATTATTAGATAAACAATGTACTCTTGATTACCCTAGTTCAGTCGTACTACATACTTTACTGTTGGCGTGTTATTCTATTGTTTACAGTGTTGGGTTGTGGTAGTGGTGTTTTTATGTTTAAAAAGCCTAGAATTGGTATCCTGTTATCTTTCATAGCAGTGTGCTGTACTGTATTTTGAATCATAGACTCATTGATAACTTTTGTTCGATCTACTTTAGTCTACTCTATGTTTTATATAAAGTGGCCAATTCAGAATGGTATGAAGAAATAATTTATAGATATCTGTAGTATCTTTGGTCCATTACTCAGAAAGATTGATATTTGTTTTTTATAATTACCTCAGTAATAGTTATCTTCAAACTATCCTTATCAAATTACAGGCTCTATAACAAGGATGCTGTGATAGAATATTTACTCGATAAAGGATCTGAAAAAGTTGAAAAAATGAATCATATAAAAGGTTTGCTTCATTCAAAACATTTTCAAGTCGATTTCAAAAACATTTCCTAAAGAGAAATCAATTCTCTTGCTAATTCAGTAATACTGACTTAATAACCCGAACTATCCTTAATTTATCTCTTTATTTACCGAAACCGTAACCCTACTACTTTAATAACAGAGGAGCCAAAAATTAGTTCCCATTATTAATTAAATTCTTTGACTTCTACTGCTTTGTAGTTGTTTCTTGGAATATTGTACACATTCAAGGTATAGTGGCTTCTGATTCTGACACTGTAATAAGTTGAAAATCTATCAATACAATATTTATCAGCATATTCAATTTTTATGAATTTTCCGAATTTCTGTGTTGATCATCACCCACTTCAGCCTACATTTGGTATTCCTCATTTGAAAATTTAATTTTCTATGTATTCTTAATATTAAATTATTTAATCAAGGCCATCTTTGCTCACTGCATCAATAATTTTAATTAATTTGAATATACAATAATTCCTCCGCTAGCATAACCCGATTTAAAATTCCATATTCTATGTTTAAAAATAACATTTCTGACTATATTCAGAGCAATAATTTATTGGATTTCCACCAATATCAGAAATTAGTGAAGAAAGGGAAAATGTCACTGGAATTAAAATTATATCATATTATTATATAAATTAGTCTTTTCTCATATAGTTGAGTTGATCACAATCACCATTTGCCTTTTTTCAATATTTTTCCTGTTCCTGTTTTCCTGTAAAAAAATAGAAATTTAAACATAATCTTATATATCAGGCTTGAAGGACATCCATACTCTCAACCTTCATGCAAATCCATCATGGAAAAATAAAACTGATCATGCAGAGAAAGGAGATGCTTACATTGATGACCAAAATGCTAAATATATTTGTCCAGTTGCTGGAATTGAAATGAATGGCAGATACAAGTAAGTGTTAATGAAAAATTACTTATTACGTTTTTTTTACCACCAAATTCATGTATTTGGAACAAATAAACTATTATTCTCATATATCTGACACAGGCTGGTAATTGGTCATGGTTAATCATGTTTAGTTGAGTTGTCCTTATGCACCTCCCCTTTCCTGCAGGATAAGAATAAAATCACCATCCCAAGTGTCTTAAATTCTTTTATAAATGCCTTGTTGAGATCAAAAGTTGAATCAATTATAAAAAACTCTCCTAAATCTATCTTAATTTAATTTCAGTTCTAAAAGAATATGCTTGAAAAATGTATTTTACAGTAATGCAAACTAGATATTTAAAAAAGGATATTTATTGAAAATTTGGATAGTCGGAAATACTTCTTTGGATGAAATAGTTTTTTGGTGGATGAAATCACGATTTTTGCCTGATTTAAAGATGAAAAATATATTTTAGTTTTTTTTTCTGCGGGGAACTTTTTTAAGTAATGAGAATATTAAGCAATTTTGAGGTTGATATTTCAAAACACCTATTTAATTTAAAAGGTATGTTTCTATTTCTGAACCCGTAAAACACTATTATTACACTTTTTCTACTTTTTCCAGATTCTGTTACCTACGAACATGTGGATGTGTATTCAGCAATAGAGCATTAAAAGAAGTTCGAGATGAAATTTGTTTAACTTGTTCAAAGAAATATTCAGCTTACGACGATGTTATTACTCTTAATGGAAGCAAGGTACAAGTTAAAACTATCGCAAATACACTATGAAGTTCAAGAGTCCTGCTGCACACTAACAGAAATGTATTTCTGTAACGTTTCGCCTTGCATTGTACACATACAGATCCACCAGCGCAAATGCATTGAGGAAGGATAAGGAGTTAGTATCGCATAACCCCCACTCATAGTTAACTTACCGGCCTGATAGTAAGAAAATACAATTTTCACAAAAACAGTTCTATATTACTTTACTATTTGATTAGGTGCTGGTAACAGGGATTGAACCTATAATTACTGGATCTTTTTTTTGAAAACTAACCTTTTTCGTTTCATTTTGAAAGGATGAGGAAGATTTATTGAGACAAAAATTAGAAGCTAGGAAAAGTGCTTCGAAATCTGATAGAAAGAAGAAAAGGGACAAAGCCAAAAACGGAGAAACAAATGGACATTTGTCTAATGGTCATTCTGAAAAGGTAAGTCAAGTTTCGGTTTCAGAATTGGCAGAATTTATATTTAGAAATAGAAGGGTTTGTCATTTTTAAATGATTTTTTTGCAATAGTATCAATTTTGAATTTTATATTCTCACTTTAAAAATCGTAAAAATTGTAGGTATGGCTAAAATTTTACATTCACTTTATGCTGTAGAGCTCTATCTCAAGTCAAAAATCAAGAAAAGTTTTTTTTTTAAATTGCAGTCAAACTATTATTAAGCCATTTCACCAAATTCAAATAAGTTAATGATTTATTAATATGATTGGTTGAAATCTAGCTTCAGACTTGCAAAATTTATCTCTAGTTTCATTGGCAAAATAAGATTTCAGGCGCTTTTCGTCACAACATTTTGCCCTTTGTTCCTTGAAAAGCCTAATGCTTCTTTTATTGTTCCACTAATTTTCATTCATATACTCTATATACTGTGTTTTCCTGAAAATAATACCTAGCCTGAATTTCAAAAATGATTTTTATATACCGGTAAGCCCTCCCCTAAAATGAGACCTAGTCAATAATGCAGAATTTTTTCTTGATCTAGTCAATAGCAAGAAATTTCTCCTACATGTTTTAAATGATTGATAATCTATGTTGTACAACTATTTTGAATAAAAAAAGTTCTGTAAATAGATATTGCTTTTCATATTTTGTAGATTTCAAAATCTCGTAATTCTCTACTTTGTAATTTTGTTTTTAATAAATGAAAATATAAGACATCCCCAGAAAGTAAGCCAAGCCTTATTTTGGTATTTTTCAGAAGAAAATTGAAATAAGACACAAGTTCCTGCTTCAAAATTTTTTCACGTTTAACTTCAAGCTATCATATAACAATTGTATCTGCGCTCAATACCAGTAGATTTCTATTATAATTTTTTAGATCGATGAAGACAAGCCTTCTACATCTGGTATCTCTACAACTAAGAAGCAAAATGGCAAGATTGGCACAAAATCCAATCACGTCAAAAAACTTGAAGTGGGAAGTGCTGTAAATGGGGCAAAACGTAGAATTGAGGAAGCTAAAATATATAAATCAGATACATTCAAATCTTTATTCACTTCACATTCATCTGCCAAGAGAAGCAAGGATGAAAAAGCACATTGGATTACTTATAATCCATATCATTGTTAACTATAGGGGAAAATTCCGATTTGAATGAGAAAATATAACTCAACATCATTGGTGTCCAGTAGATGGCTATTCTCGAATACAGAGTGTTCATAATCATTAAGTCTTGTATATAAAGAGGCATATAAAAGTGTATTAAATGAAATAGATAAACACTGATTCAAAATAAAACAAATCTGGTTGAAGTATAACCAAATTTGAAATTGTATCAGGTTCAGGCTATTCTGTAGTTAATGTTCCCCCATCATTCCCCCATAACTTAACTCAGTGGAAAACAAAACAATCCATGAAAAATTTAATTTATATCTCAATTTCATAAACAATACTATTAACTGACAAATCACTAGCAAAACCATGGAAATGAACTAATGTTGCTGATGCTAAAATTTTGATTGTTGCATCACCATCCGATGCTTGTGGAAACATCCATTGTTTTTAAAATTCATTCAATATGGGAAATGATTGTTTACATGTAGGTCTTTATTTCTGTCCAAAAGTTGTAAATTATACCACCATCATATGAATTTTTATCAACATAAATTTTTTTCAATGAAAATACCTTTGAATTCTAACTTCACAATATTGCACCAACAAACCAACAGCCTTTAACAGATTCACAATTTCACAGAATTCCATTTCTTAATGACGATATCTAAGTTTTTTTCCCTGAATATAAATTGGTTTTATTAACAATTTTTGTATGTCAGTTATTTCTTGCATAAGTCAGTTTACCCATCATGGGGAATTTTTGTTCACTTGATTCGTGCGTCTCTCCCACCTTACATTGACTGAATACTAGTATATAAAAACATTACTGTACAAAACTATTCAAGTGTTTTATGAGCTTTGGATGTATATTTTTACCATGCCCGCACAGATTTGAAAAGGTAGCAAAGAGGTTGCTATCTCAAGAACACTGCCACCTTTTTAAATATATATGATATTCAGTGGACATTGCTGTCACCGCTGCTATATTATATGCTTCGTGGTGGTATATGAAACTATATAATATAACAGTATTACCATATTTTGCAGAACAAATTGTTCTGTGATTTTAGAAAATGCACAGCCAATTTTAGATTCAGCCATTTCTACTCTTGTCTGTCCTAGTTGATTGTGTTGAAACTCCCTACCTGGTGACAAAATTTGTGTAATTATCGTCAGTCGCCAACTTGACAGATGCCAACTTGACAGATACCGGTAGATAAACTTATGCACAGCTGTTAGCGAGTTTGTGGTATATCAGTACCAATTTTTCAGTTCTAGTTGGAAGGCCAGGGCCTGGTTTTAAGCAAACTGAATAAAAATAATCAGTTGGACGCAAAAGGTAATCTTTCGTTTCCTTAAAATCTGGTCATCGAAAGACAATGGATGGGCAAATTTTTATGAATATAACAATAACTCCCACTCTCCCAGTGATTCATTAGGAATTGAAAAAGAGTTACCGGTAACTAGTCAAGTTTTACTCAAAATCTCTATATTTTTCAATTTTAATGTGTATTTTTATTATATTTTCTGACGTCACTGCTTAATCCAACCACACCTAGATATGTCATTTAATATTTATGACATCAATGTACAAACCCAATACATTTATAATTTAACAAATATTGATCATGGATATACAAGCGCTTCTGATTTAATATGTACAAATGGATTTATTGCATTGTTATATCATATATTGATTTCTGTATTCGATTCCTATTGATTTTGAAATCAAATGAGGAATATTTGTATTCAAAAAATTTCAGTCGGTTTACAGGTATAATATCTTTATTTTATTGCAGCTATGGTATTTTTGGTATTTTCAAATGTTTTAAAATTCTATCAAAGTAACTGTTTTTTTTTAATGTGTAAATATTTTTTTTGGTTGTCTAGGGTTAGGCCTTCTAGTTACAAGCAATATGTAAACTGTCTTCTTGTTACTTGAAGTTACTGCTTATTACGCACCCCTATTTATGGAAGTCAGTTGAGAATATTTAGCAGGTGTCTGTTAGAATGTTTTCGGAATAACATTGACGGTGATGTCAGTCAAATACGCTAAATTTGACAGTTTTTTAAAAAGAATATTGAGCAACAAGGTAATACTTAAACCTTATTTATATATTATCGGATTTAGATAAGGATAAATAATTATGAGAAATTAAGTTTCTATTTTATATTATTTTTTGTATATGTAATAATATGTTGAGCTCACAGTGCATTAATTGTCCCTTGCAACTGTGCAGTGGTCAGCATTCTTCCTTTTTTACTTTCGATTGTTGAAGTGTCTGGGCCTTGTTTTAAGCAAACTTTTTTTCAAAAATACATTGTATTGAAATTGTAGTTGATATTTTCGAATACATTGTTTTGTTTAGTCCAGGGGTAGGCAAGTTACGGCCCCCGGGCCAGATCCGGCCCACTTGTGTCTGATGAAATTATGACTATAGTTTTTATGGACATAAACTTATGTTGAAAATAACTTCATAGTGACCCCAATTGTTACATTGTGCTTAATATTATATAGATGTTAGCCTAGCTGTCGTAAATAGACTTGTTTATTATTTATAGTTTTTCATATTGAGGGTTGAGACTCCTGCCCAGCAGTAACCAAGTCTATTATCTGCAACTGGCCCACTCAAAATAGTAATTGCCCACCCCTGGTTTTGCCACTTGGTGTGGTGCTTGAAGGTCAATCTTGTTTTGTAGTTTTTGCCTATTTTGCTTGATTTTTTACTTTTATATATTCTGTTATCTGTTGGTTCATTACAAAATTGTTTTTCTCAGGAATACAAAGAAGTGAAAACTTATGAACCTTGTGTTGTTACATCAAGCAAAGAAAAACATGCATTCAGATTCACGTTCATTACAAGAAATAGAATTTATATCACAGAAAATCCACCAAAAAGTCTTCTATACTCTGTTGAATTGAAGGATGTAGTGGATATTTTTGTGGTAAGATAGGTTAAGTTTTATGCTAGGCTGTCAAGTTGGCAGATTTCTTGTTCAAATGGAGTCTTGTGTTAGATTTGCACTTTCAAAATTCTTAGTAGGCGGAGTCAAATGTTTTAGGCCAGGGGTGTGCAACCTTCGTTACAGGAGGGAGGGTCAGATACAAGTAACTGGGTGAAGCCTCGGGTCGCACCTTTATTTAAGATAGCCTTTCTAGTAGTTGCTAGCACAAAAAATAGTTTATTTTTGTTATTGATTTTAAGGCATTGTTAGGGGTCCTTGCAGAAATGGTGAGTTGAAACATATAAATTTCTGAAGGAAAACTGCTATTCAAATTTATTGTCAGACTCACTTTCACATCTTACTATTACCAGGTCAATGACAAAGCGAATTTCTTACAAGCAGACCTACGGGATCGAGTTGAACATGTTGTTGTCAAACACATAAGTCAGGATGGTAATAACAGCAATGATACATTTGATAATTCACATTTGATGCCAGAGTCTTCTGGAAATGCTGGTAAGTATGCATGACTGGTTTACGTTGAATTAACTTCATGATGTTATTCTATTAACTGAGATTATTGCTATATGTATAGGTTCTTCGTCTTCAACGGAAAATCCGACTCCACTCTTATGTTCCTATCTCAATGTTGGTTCTGTAGCTGATAGTCACTCTGTTTCATCAGAACCACAGTAAGTTATAATGCATTATTTAAATAATTAAATTTAAGAAAGTAATGGTATATGTTTATCTAATAAAATGTATATGTAATAAAATCATTTTCTTGTGATATTTACTATTAATTTGAAACACTCCTCCATTTTTAAATTTTTTAATTGTCGATTCATGTTGCAGTTCTATTTGTTTTGTAGCTTCATAAACAGTTTCACATCCTTAATAGAATAGTCTCAACCTTAAAAACTGGAAATCTGAGAAACACTGAATTCTGAACTTCACAGCCTTTATTTTTTTTTATTTAGAGCATTGAGTGATTTTGATGACAACATGAATGAAGTTCCAACACAGAAAAACAAGAAAAATGGTAATTATTATATTATATTCTGAGATCGGGCATCTCATTATACCAAAATAAAAAACTTATAGGAATTAAATAGAGTCTTTGCAATAATGGCATTATATTGTAGAATACAATATTTTAATGTAAATAAACATAAAACATTACTTGTTATAACTAAAAATATCCTAGTTATTGCATCGTGGCCACGTACATTAATGGAGTTGATTTGAATGTTCTTGAAATGTCGTGATAATCAGCGAACTCGTACCTGCTTTTTTGAAATGTTAGACAACCCCAGTAAATAGGTAACCTATGACATAGGTAGTGACATATAATAATAAATTTGTCGTTGGTGTTCCACTGTTTTTGCAAGGTTTTTGGTGGTTTTCCATGGTTAAGTTTTTTTATCACATAATCTTATGTTACTTTCTTGAATGATTATAAGGCTATAAGTTAGGCATGGTTTATTGAAATGAGTGAACCTGTCGTCAGTGAGTTCGATACATAGAGCACCTGTTACCTATAATTTTGAATTCCATCACTCGGTCTGGCTATATACATTGGTAGACCACGATGAATACAAAATGATCTTATTATGTTATTAATATAATCATTTGCTAGACATTGCTTTTTGAATACCTTTGCAGAGATTTGGGCGCTCCAGTAGTGTGTGTACCAATATATAGGTATCTAATTTTGTTCGCCTACTCTACATCAAGTTGTGTAAAGGGGCTGAAGCCTATGGGCAGGGGGTATATTCACTTGGCTAACACAGGCAGTCCCTGAACTCGTAGTTGAACTGAAATAAAGAAAATCAGAATAGAATAATGGCCTTACCCCAACCTGGTACACACACTACAGGAGTACCAAATGTTCTTATTAATACAATCATTTTCTATGTATTGTTCTTTGAATACCTTTGCATGGATTTGTTCTAATTACGTTTCGTCTCACTCTAACAATATGTTTTATTAATTCTAAAGCCAATTCTTCAAGAACTAAGCGGTTGTCAGGTTCAAGTAGATGGGAGAGTAAAGATCCTTATTATGTTCAAGTTATGTTGCCAAACGCTGTGATGTCTTCCTCTCAAAATCTTGAAGAACTGCATATCTATATACTAAGTGAAAACACAACATATTTTCGTATGCTTCAATCTGTGTGGAGAAATTACATTGTGGTAATGTATATTATTTTACATTTTTACGACTATTTCCTAACATAATTTATTATCTCTGGACATCTCTGCTTAATAAATCAATTTTATTGAGATTGTTACTAATAATATTAGTACATTTTGTACCTGTACCATATTTTGAAAATTTTCCTATACTTATGAAGGGCGCTCCAGAATGTGTGTACCAATATGAAGGAAACTAATTTTTTTCGCCTATTTTACATCAAGTTGTGTAAAAGGAGTGAAACCTATACGAAGGGGGTATATTCACTTGGCTTACACAGATGGTCCCCGAACACATAATAGAACTAAAATAAAGAATTTCGAAATAAAATTATGGCCTGACCCTAACCTGGTACACACACACTACGGGAGTGCCGTTAAAGGTGCCCTAATGTCTAAGTTTACAAAAAAAAATTGCGAGGAAAATAAGGGTTTATCAAATATTCATTACGTATATTTATGAATTATTAATATTAACATACAAATACCAGTTATGTAACTGGTTGTTATCAATATTCATAAATCAATTTGTTCAGTGGTATATCCTTACTAGTTGCAATTCAACTGAATGTAATTGTATATGATAAGGTTGAGGAACTCACTATTGAAACTCGAATGTCTTTTCCCCTATCTTACTACAATTTTATTCTATTGCATTTTTAGTCTAGAAAAATTTTGAAATACTTTTGATAAAATAGGTTTTTTTTTCAGTTAAAATAACATCTCTATAAACTTATTTTATCAATATTCATATTTTTTATGTGTGCTGAATTCTCACTGCAACAAATTAAATTCCTTTTTCTGTTATTTGTATTTACAGTGATGTATCTAAAATTAAAAATTCAGTGATTTAAAAGATAATATTTTTGTAATTCGTATAATAAACAAATGAATTTTTTTGTCATCTATATTACGTTATGTGATACTGTGATAGGCTTTTTTTCACGCAGACTGTAATATTTTATAACTTTTCACTTTTTATATTTATCTAATTAAGCATGCCATAAGCAGGAACTAGACATAATTTTTAGATTTGTAAGTGTTTTTCTACAGATGGGCAATGAGCAGTTACTTGGTCAACACTTTATAAAGACATGCCAATTTCTTTTTTTGGCATGCCTTTATTATTATCCAAAATTATTGTTATCTTGACAAGTGACAGCTTTATATAAACCTTGTTTGATGCAAGGGTGGAAAGAAATTTTTTGATTACGTATATCCTCGCATATAAACCAAACATGGTCCAAAACAGTGAATTTATTAAAATTCACATATATGCCGACCCTGCAAATGCACATGTTATGCACATATAAGAGGAATTTTTAGCGCAATCAGAGCTATGAGCGTGTAAGCTGAATTTTTTGCGCGATCAGAGTAATGCACGCATAAGCGGACCCATTAGGTTGCAAACTTTATTTTTAGTTTCGAACTTTGCTAATATACGAGGATATACGATATCTACATATGTGTGATTCATAATGGTTTTAATTTCAGTACCACAGCTCTTCTCAAAGACAAGAACAAGTTCAATCTACCTTGGTTAGAATGTTGTGCATAGAAACTGGTCTTGTTTTGCATGTGTGCCACTCATAAGTAGATTAGCAGTCATTTCATTGCATTATTATTTTTATTATAGAATTAGTTTGGTGTGCTTTGCTTTGCTATTGTAACTAACTAAAGTCGGTGAGTTTTATTGAATAGGATAATATAGAATACCCATATGTTTGCATTAAACATTGCATCAAGAAAATATAACTTTTGGAATATGGAGATCCATCCTTCATTAATTATTCTTGTGCTAAGAAAAACACTCAATATTTCAATAAATCTTGAATAAATAATTTAATTTAAAAGATAGTGATCACTTCAAATTTTGATCACATTTTATTAACTGTGGGCTATGGTCGGCTATGGATAAAATAAAAGATCGAATGGGTTTTATATTTCAGCCAATTCCCATCAATATGGATATATTGAATTGCCTCAAATCAATACATTTTTTTGTTACATTATATGGCTAGCAATATCAGTTATTTTTTATCTTTTCATGTGTCATATCGTAACTTCATACTGATCAATATTAAATAGCAAAGACATTTATAACATTTCATTAGTGATTATTCAGTCATTCATCTAACTTCATTTAAAATACCTACATTACTTCATATGCATGGCTTCAAAATGCAGTAGGCCTATCTGATGTTCATCTTTTTATTTTAAACACAATATGAAAGATTTATCATGCATTTATTACAGAATGGAGTATTGTCATCTTCACCAATGCATTTGCTTTTTGTCAGGTCCTCAGTTATTCTGGTCATTAAACAAGCTTGGAGATATCCTATCCAAATTATTATTTGCTTCTTTTAACACGATCTGCTATAGAGCAAAAATAATGATATCTGACAACTTTTACCGAACAAATGTGATTCACTGGGAAAAAGTCAAATTTTGTAGGAACCTATTAATATTTATTAGATCAATTTTTAAAATGTTTCCAAATACAAATAATGTATTTTGAACTGCGGTAAATTGTTTACATCACTTTTATTTGTTCCATTTGACGATATTACTTTGGTTTTTGTTATTGAGTATTGCGGTAGTGTGAATTTAAAGCTAGTAGCTTTATGTTAGATCCAGGGCTTCGTGCTATGCTTTTACTCACTGTATATTTATACTTATTCTTTGTGCCTAATATAGATTGATTGTGTTATCAAAGAAGTGGTATTAGAAGAACGCCTTGATATTTATTTTATTTTATTCCAGTAAAATAGCTGTGAAAAATCAGCTTACTGTTTTTAAATGTTAACCATGCAACGGCAAAAAGATTTTTTGAAAGATTTCTTTTTTTTATCGAATCAAATATCAGCCTGGGTATAGGTGGAAAGCTTTGAAATTTTGATTATGATATTTGGCTCAACCTTTCATTGGTCATTATGACTTCCACCCTTTTGTTAAATTTTAGGTAACAGTTATTTTGTGTGGATTTACAACAAATACACAAGATGATCTCTTAATAAAACAAAAGGCATTTATTTACCCATCCAATTATTCTGTATTTAGCAATAGAATGCAATGTTGAAGTTTCTAACTGGTACATTATGACAATTGCTTTAAATTTTTGCATTAGAATTCTACTCTTCAATATGATGAACTTGATCGTGCAACTTCAGATAAATCAGCTTCAATGGATGAAAGTACAAAAAGTTTATTTGCTGACTTGAAACAAGAATTACAGATGGCACAAAATATTGAAATGCTTTATGGGTAAACAAAAATTGACAACAGTTGTTGATGGTCTCTCATATAATAAAGTATTATATATATCTTGGATTGGAAGCAAATACACACCCAGAAACAGAATGTAGGCTACTGAGGGAACTCTATAAGATGTCTATTAATATCTATAATGAACCCTGATCTTATCATCAGTTGGAGCCTGGTATAAGAATAGATGATATGTTAAAAATCTAAGTTACCAATAACTTAGATGGTGGAGAAAACAGTAACTTGTCAGTGGTTATATAAGTAGTATAAAGAGATCAGAACTCTGAACGTTCTGAAAAACAAAGGAATCTGGAAAATTCCAATCCTTCCAAAATTAGTAGCCACTTCGAGTATCAGTCTCAAGATAAAACTTTAAATGTGTTGTTCCAAACTACACCCTTTACTGATTTATGTGATAATGTTCATGTTGAATATTGTGTAATAATCTCAGGAATTTCATAAAAAGTTGCAACACACTTTTAGGACCGGGACGGTACATAGTTGGGAAACCAAGCACTAATACAATTTCTATTGACGCTTGGTGCATGTGCTAACATTTCACAAGATTTTTTATTCTCTTTATTGCAGGTTATATAAAGAATTGAAGACAGCTGTAACACAAGATATTTTAATAAAACATTTGTTCTGGAAAGATGATATTTTGTTTAAAAAAAGCATTGATTTAATCAACCGATATATTAAACAAAGTGTTTCTGTTAATATTGATGAAAGAGCTGATGAAATAGAGTAAGTATGATAATATTACTAAATAATATTTACAGTTTATTTTGACCATTTTATACTGAGGATGATGACTTATTTATTATTCTGAATACATTTCAAAAAATATTCTTGAATATGTAATAAAATTTATCTTTTTCTCAGATTATTATTTTTTTAATATATAATCTCTTATTAATTAATGAGTTTCAAGTTAAGTTTTTAAAGTTCAACTGGAGCCCAACTTACTTTTAATATATATTGTTACTCTCGAGCTAGAGCAGGGGTGGGCGAGGTTTTTGGATCAGGGTTCATGTGGTAGTGGGCCATGTAACTGTAAGTGTGACGTAAAAAGTTACATTTTATTTAGGCCTACAGTGTTACAAAAGCAGAAGTGGAAAACAATAAGCCTTGTGCCAAAACTAAACAAATTTTTTGAGCTATTTTTTAGCTAAAACATTGAAATTTGGTTTAGTGATAGCATCAGGCGGGCCAGATTGAATTACCAAATGGGCCGGAATTGGCCCACGGGTCGTAGTTTGCCCATGTCAGAGCTAGAGTCTGCGTTATTATGATTTTAAACCAGCTCCCCATCCCGGATTACAGTAATCATCATAAATATTTTTGAGTTTTAAATATTCCTGATCAAGATGTTAGTTTTAATTTTAGAATGGTAGTCATTGTTTTAATTCTTATTTCAGATTAGCAATCATTGTTCTTCATACTGTGGCAATTATGATTAGAGAGTCCGAAGCAATACCTCGATGTTATAGAGTTCTTCAAAACTTGAGGTATGTATGTTGAATACATTTACATTTGGGAGCATTTCGATAGTTATCCGCTGAGAAGGATTATGTAAATATTCTTCATCAAGTAACATTTATAAACAGTTAATGATGATTTTTTTTTATTCGGATTCTATTCTTTATGGAAGAAAATCTAAGGTCCACACTAAATGGCTTGGCGAGCCGGGTTGTGTCCGGCTGGCTGCCTGTTGCACAACCCTGATCAAGATATTCAGCTACAGAAACTATGGAGTTTTATTGGTTTTTGGTTCAGGAATAGATCAATTTATCACATCCCTGGTCAGATTATTATGAGGTATAAACCTGAAATCTTTAATTTGCAACGATGAGCTTAAAGCATATCATTGATTGCAATTGTACGACCGGTAGTTCAATTCTGCATACCTAATATTATATTGGTATATATATATATATATGAGTTATTTTACTTTTGTTTTTTAGTCTTCCACAGTTTAAAGATATAATAGAATCTTTGCTATGCATGCCAAAATTATTATGTGACTCATGGTTATGCAATGATGATATCAAATCCATGGTTGCTGAATCCACTGTTGCTTCATGTGAAGTTTTATATGAAATAATCATTGCATCTCAACAGGTATGTTTTGGATTTCTTAATACAAGTTCCCAAGCCAAATTGGAATTCTTTTACCACAAAGGTAAAATAGAATACCCAACAGATCTAAAAGCTTTAAATAAGTTTATCCTATGCCACAAAAGTGTCAGTAGATGGTGGTTGACACAAAACTTCAAAGTCATATTTGTCTGGGAAATGGGTCGCTGGAAGGCAATCTCTGGAAAGTACAAGTTTTGGGAAAAACTTTTGGTTTGGCTTTTTCTATTCGATCCAAAAATTATATTCGTGCACCAGAAATGATAATTAGAGCAGACCCACAGTTATTACTTTTGTATTGTATGCTCTGATGGATCTAATATAATTATCGATCTCTAATCTCTTTCAAAAAAATAATATTCACATAATCTTACAAAACCATCGTTTCTCCCCAACAATAACGGTAGTTTCATAAATAAATTTCCCAATAGATAACTTTGGTTTGCATGGCATCCCTTCCACAGTCATTTTATTTTTCATATTGTATGTGATTGTTTATTACTGGTTAGAAAAAATAAACTTGACTTGACTTCACAACAGTCAAGATGTAATGTAATATTGCCGAGACCCGCAGCCCTCAGCCTCAATTTTAACTAATAGTAGATAACTTCATTTAGGTATCCTGGATTGTCACAGGAAAATCTACAGTCTTTGGTAGAACAGTATTGTTTGCAACCATAAATGAAAGTGAGCGCTTGGTAAGTTATTACTGTAATTTTTATGTCATTCTTAATTATCAGATATTCACCTTAAACTAGCAAATGAGCGAGCAAGCATATGAGATTGCAAATTATTGTCAATACGAAGACCAAAAATTTATATTATATTGTGTCAATAATTAGACGAATGGGGAATCGAACCTGGAATCTCTAAACTGCTAAGATGGCATTTCAAATCTTACATTAGAATTGAATTTGTGAATGATTACTTTCAATTAATTGCAATTTAGTTTTTTTGAGCTTTTCTTTCTTAACTTTTCTGATATCAGTCGAATTTTTTTTAATCTAGGGGTTGGGATTTTAAATATTCTGGCATCAAATTTGAAATTAAAACAAAAAAGGTTTGTCATCATGGTGAAAATCATTTTGGGCTTGAAATTTTTTTTTGCAAAGTTGAAATTTTCATTTACTCACAGTTATCCATCTACCATTGCACTATTATTTGCAAATCTTTCAGCATGGTTTCCTGGATAGACTGATACATTCTTGTATCAAACTATGGGATTCTAAAGAAATGAAATCGACTAAATACAAGAAAAGGCATCAACTTCTAGGCACTGAAGTTTTTTCTCCCGAAAACGCTGTCAAAGCTTTCCATCTATTCACTGTATTTCATCGAATAATAGTCAGATCTCCAACTGCAGCACAACATGTTAGATCAAGTTTTCGAGAAGAATTCAAGTGAGTTGCGTTCAGCATTAGCAGTGTACTTTGGTATATGCAAACAGAATACATTGGGGCAATAGTTCTAGGACACTGGTTTTCATTCAATCTTTTCGATGGAGCGGAACCCCAATGAAACTTTCCAGAGGCTCACAGAATCCCCTGTTTAATTGTTTTTCATTGTCTCAATTGTATAAACTATAGATATATATATATATAAAAGCAAACATAATACTGGCAAAACGAAATGAACTCTGAACAATGTACATATATCTAGAGGGTATTGGATTTGAATGGAAGCTTGCGGAACCCTGGTTTGTATTGGGAGAACCCTGCCATGCTTTGCAACCCCAGTTGAAAACCACTGTCCAGAACCTGTAGACTATATTATTGATTTTAATGAGGTGTTTTGCAACTTGCTCTGCTCAAGCTTCTATTATCTATCTGTTTTCTCCCAAAGTAATCTTCGTCATATTCGTCAAAGATTCGTCATATAGTTTACCTAATTATGCTCCTATTATGCACTGCGTTGATGTAGTGAGCATCTCTGCAGTAATTTGTCAAATCCCTATTTCAGTGTTTAGAAATTTGAGATGTTTATTTAGCTGCCATTTGGAGGCATTTAATTTGATTTTGACTTCGATATAGCTTCAGCCCCAGTCATTTTGAAATTGCTCGACTATGGATTCGAATTACAGTTAAAAATACTAGAACCTGAAAATTTTCAATAAGATATACGGTTTGAATGATAATTGTAACTCAATCTATGAAAATTATTTATAAAAGCTATGCATTCCAATCATAATGAGGTGTTTTTACCTGGATTGCGAAAAAATCTAGTTTCAATTGATCTAAAGACAGTAATAAAACTAAAATATGAACGTGTATATGCGACATTATTTTGAAATAAGTCTAATCCTTTTTTTTACAAAACAGGTATTACATCAATCCTTCATCCGTTTCTGCGAAATTTCCTCAGGAATATCCTATTTCTGCTATGGCAAGATCTGTAGTCCATGCTGTTGGTTCCTATGTTACTGCGATATGAGTATCTTTTGTAAGAAATTACTGTCACAGAATTCAGGGACACAAATAACGAGCACAATTATGAAGAAAAATATTTTTTCAACTCGGGAGGTCAAAAATTCTGGCCTCTATACATATGGCTTATTTATATGTTCAAGCTGTTTTCAACAACTTAGTTTTTGTTTATTTCTTATATCCTGCAATAATTTCCTTGCCAAAAAATAGTTATTTTGTTGTTTAAAAATGAAGGATTTTGTCTCTTAAATATTGCACAGCTCAATTCACTTTTGCTTACTCAGTCAAGATGGGTTTCCTAACCCAATCCCAACTGTTGGGTCAATCCTGACTGCTTAAGATCTTATATCGTTGATAATTTGCACTTTTGACGATGAAATGCATTTGCTTTTCTATTTGATCTTTTTTTGACTTTGTCTTTTTTTCAGGTAATATTAAAATTGAAGTTTATGTGACATTCAACTCCAGGCTTTTCATAAGCTCGAAATATTTTGTCGTTTTGACTTCTACTTCCACATTCCACTCTGTACTCAGAAATTCTAAGCCTCTTCCTTAGCTCTGACTTTCTTGAATCAATTGGACTTTTCTAAATGCAATCTGATTGCTCCGGCTTTTTGTTTGTTTTTGTGTGTACAACTGTAATTTTACCTGTTTCATTTTATATATTTTTGTAAGTTTCTGTCCTTTGCACTTTTAAATCTTCAGTAGTTGGTGAAATTTTATTTTTTTGAAGCATTCATGATTTTGTGTTATGTATTTCAAGTTTTCGGTTGTTTAATCGCACGAATAAATCAGTATTTCGAATAGGATTGTTTGTATAGTTCTGTTGACATGATAGGATTGGTTGATTTTACACTAAAGACTAAATGAATAACGACTTGTCTTCTCGCCACAAAAACAGTACAGAAACTAGAATTCCCGATCTTTTTGATTAAATATTAGATCATTGGATATCGCTGCTCGATAGCCAGCGTCTGTTTCACGAGGCTTTCTTTCCCAGCAAAATTGAGTGATTATCACTTTTTTCAGTGTTCTGTGTAAAAAAAATTTACTGGTCGGAAAAAATAAACATGACTTATTGCCCGCGACCACCCAGTACCAAAGCGTATCTATTACATAAGCCCAATACAAGCTTTACAAGGAATGGAAGGAATGTTTATATTCAACCCAGAGGAGAGAAAAGCCAATAAGACGGATCTGTCCAACCAACCGCAGCAGCTTCTATGATCACTAGTCCACGAGGGTAGTTAATTGGTTATTCTTTACAGATACAAACTTGTCTTAAAAGATCAGCACGAAAGGTCAATGGTGGAGTTTTACAAGTACCGGTATTTGTTTTTTTTCCAAATTCCGATTACCGACTTTTAGGCATCTAAAGTGTAGAGAATTTCCGTTTATTTAGATGTTAGGGTATTAGCAGTCCGACTTCATTACCCGTTTTGGTGAAAATTTCGGTCATCCCCTAGGTCTGGGAATATCAACTTTTTGCTTCGGGTCCGAAGAGCAAAGTTCCAATCCTAAAAACTTAGACGTATACCTACACTGAGAATTCCGGGTTTGGGGGCGAGAGAAAACATGTGGCCACGCCTAATAAGCATAGGCTTACCATACGTCCCGCTTTTAGTGTCTTGTCCCGCCGTCCCGATAAGTCAGTCAAAAGTCCCGCTTTGGCGTTCAGCCAGTGGTGGGATTCAATTTTATTGTCAGCCGGTTCCATCACAAAAGTAATATTTTTAAGTCGGTTCGGTTACGAAAGTCATTGACAGTATCCAGTAATGCTAACCGGTTCGCTGATCTCATAAAATTCCGTGAGACGGTTCTATAGAACCGGTGCGAATCGGCTGAATCCCACCACTGCGTTCAGCCATCCAGCATAATACACGAACATGTTCTCGTTACTGTTGTTGCTGTGTAGCACAACGCTAGCCTACTTGCTGAAGGTGAATGCGTTATTTTGTTTGTTCCGCTGTTTCCCGCTAACATTGTTAGCGAACGTATCACATGTAAAATCAATTCTAATTGGTCCTGTTCGGACGTTCACGTGAATGTAACATTGAACAACGTTTTTTTTTGGAGGTGTTATCTACAGAAAAGCATGCTCGGCCGAATAAGTAAACTTTCAATGCTTAGAAACGGCAGACTATTTCATTATTCTTTATTCCTTTTGCTGTACATAAAAAAAATCTAAATTCGGATCATTTGTATCGTTAGTGTCTATTCCCTTCTATTTTTCGAACTGAACCCGATATTTAGACAGAGAATATGCGCATGAACTCGATGACAATATGCTCAATACAGCCGGTATGGCTTTAAATGTAGGCCTATGTAGTAAAATCGAAAACTGCAAAGTGACAGTATCACAGCCAACGGGGTCGTGTCTTTTGAATCGTCCCGCTTTGGAGTCAAAAAATATGGTAACCCTAAATAAGCAGAGGTGTGGAACCCCTAAATTTGTAATTTATGTATAGTTAGATTACAATAAACTAAAAGTACCTGCGTAAATCTGAAAGTATTAGTGTTTTTTGTACATGCTACATGCAGTATGGACATGTAAGCAAACAGATTGACAATTTCTGCTCGTGCAGATATTTACTCCAGGGTTAAAGTTATACAGTACTAATTAATTCTAAGGTTATATACAAAAATAAGAAAAACGTAAATAATGATAGTTGTTGCACAATGTTAGTTTATTATTTCATTATCAACATTCAGGGGTGTGATGTTAATTCGACCTTCTCAAGTGGAACAAATGAAAAAAAAGCTACGAATACCGCGATACGAATATCCGGAAACAGTGCAATTCATACATATTTCGTCACTCAGCATCGCCACAGAGAGGACAGACTTATTTACCCTTATTAGTGTTTATACATTATTGTTGCAGCATTGTTTTGTTCTGCATTGAATCATTATTAACCCGGTTCCAACTGTTTCGTTCAAAAGCTCCTTCGAGCATCACCCACTGCGTCGAAAAATTTGTCGATGCCATTCCAGTATTTTTAAATATATGGTTTGGCATATTGGAGTCCAAGACGAGCCTCACTGTTAAAAGTGGAATTAGTGCGAGGACGCACAATATGGTTGTAATCAGTGATGAGCTGGGAAAATCGTAACAACTGGAACGCAGCTAATTTGTGAAAATGTATTATATATTTACAACACGACACGGACGCTACCACAAATTTTTGTCTGTCCTAAGATAGAGCCGAAGGACTACAATGAAATATAAAGAAATTATCTGGTATATGTCTGTTCAAAATTACAAGAATATTCATACCAATTCAATACGAATGTGTTTATTAGAAAGATATATGATGAAATTTCACGGGGCAAAGGTCGGCAAAACATCCATTACACGTTATTGCTGTGCACTAAATATTTGTCTGCTGTAATGTAAAAAGAATTATGGCGTAACAAAAGTAAGTTAATAAGTAAGTTTACAAGATGTACTGGAAATAGACTTTCTATGACATAATTTTATTTCAACAACCGGAACGGAAATGCAATAAATTGTCTGACAACCGGAACGCCGTTCCGGTGCGTTCCGGCTCCAGCTCATCACTGGTTGTAATCGACGTCAAACTTTTAGGTTTAGACTGTTGATGGGCGCTAGATGCTTCCAGTCATTCTTTCTGATTTATTGAATGGCCTTTGCTTGCTTTCCGACAGAAACTCAGAAAGCATCAAATTGACTAAGTATTCTCAATATAGCCTAGCCTCCATTCTGTTCATTGGACACTTGAGTGTACATAACAATCGTTTCAATATTATGTTGTTGTTCTTGTTCATATTCTTCTTCGTCATGATAAAATCGCTTTTCTTTTCGAATACTGGACCAATTGCTTTCAAGTTTTCAATGGTTAAGATTGATTTTTTTTGCCAAAAGGCTATTCTTTATACTTATTTCAAAAACTTCTGTGGACTTCAAGATATTCGTTTTTTATGTGTCAGAATAAAAAAAAATAGCGACACCTTGTGACGTGTATGCTGGCACTTCTCGTCGGTGGTTCGTAACGAAATCCTGGCTAAGATTTGAGAAATGGTGAATGGCAAATAGTGCCGTACTTTGTGTTATATTGCAGTAGTGACTCGGATCGTTGGTATTACTACAGATGCGAGTCGAACCATCTTGCAATTTCAATTCACGCTGTCACAAGACAGGAACTTCTTAAGATAGGGCAGTTCCGGTATCGTAACACAGCGCGTTGACACTGAACTAACTCGTAAAAGCGAGGCTTGCATTCACTATTATAACTGATGTCTTTAAATGTTGGTGCTTTTCCTGGAATCGGTGAACGTGTCCTTATATTTGAGCATAGCTCTCTTGTTTGTAGGAGGCTCGCAAACGGCAAAATTTTTTTTTCTCAAAATTTTATTTTTTCTGAGTTCATAGCTGAAGTGGGAGTAGAGGGTTGGGGTCGCTTTTTAAATGGTTTGGAACCAATTTCAGTTGAAAATCTCCTGCATGCATTTCGCATCGTTTGTAGTAGATTTACAAATGCTGACGAGGTATTGTTTAAAACTAATTTTGAAGTGTGAGAACGACAGTGTAGTTTTCTCGTCGTTGGGACTGTTCTCTCAAACGCATCTAATATCAGGTGATCGCACACGAGTGAACATTTGCCAAATTACATTGTACGCCATCACTTGTTTTTTCGTGTAATACTTTGTATCGCATTAAGTTGCCATTAATCGAATCCTCCAGAATTCAAAGTTCGAAAATCAAAAGTATATCCAAACGTTAGAAAATCTTCTTTATATACATCGTAAAGTTTTCTGCGAACTGATGATTTCAACTGCGACATATGTTTCTTTATGTTATCACTAGGGTTCGCATTTACTATACTTCCACCCGGTGGAACTCCTTTTCGTCCTACATCTATATCGGTGATATTCAGTCGTCTCAAAAGCCAGGACTCATCTATGTCCACAGATTCAGCTTTAAGTATATATGTGTAAGCGTAGTCGCATGGTTTGCATATTTCCACGGTTGGTGTGAAGTGATAATCCAAAGATTGAGGTCGAGTACCAGTGTCAGCAACAAATTCAGCAAAATCCTTCCAAGACATTCTGTGGTTCGGATCCTTCTCTCTCCTATAAATTAATTAGACGAAAGACATAGATTACAAAGAAAATAAAAGAACCATTTGTGGAATTTAACAAGTAATGCTGTATGGTATTATAGGAAGAGAGTGACCATATCTGCGCATTCACTCACGTGGGTTGACACTTATTGGGTTGACACTAGGGCTGGGAATTTCAGGGAAAACACTCTAACCGTTAACCGGGTAAAATTAACCGGTTAACCGCCGCGTGACGTTTGACGCAGTACTTTATAATTTTAGCTTATCACGTCACTCAGGTTACAAAGCAATTTTGCGTGATCTTATCCCGGTACCTCTCAAAATTATTCACGAATCGAAATAGTTTCGTGGTCGCGATATGCAGTGTGCTTCGAACATAATTTCGAACAAATTTTCAGTGCTCGATGTGCAAATTCTACTTTGGGATATCATGGATAATCAGCATCAACTGCGCACATTAAATGTACGATTTTGCAATAAAATCGTGAACAATATATTTTTACTGAAAACTGATTCTAAATTTATCATTGTCAAATTTTCAAAATCAGAAATTATTTTTACATTTATTGAGTCCTTACCAATACAGTTATTGATATTTTATTTTTTGAATTAAACGCACAGGAGATTACTTTGCGATGACGTAATCATTTTTGGAGAAATTGTAATTGTAAATTATAAAGATAATTTGTACCTGAGATGTCAGTTAACGGTTAAAATAAATCGTAACCCTTAACCATCTAAAATCGGTTAACCGATTAACCGGTTAACCATTTCCAGCCCTAGTTGACACACGTTTAATTGAACATAGCTTCGATCTGAACTCCTCAGAAGCCAATTGCACACAATATATTGAATGCCAAATGTTCGTATATTGTAATGATTCACATCCAGTCCAAATACAGATATATTAAAATATACACTCAATAAACCTCAATACAAGTATATGTGATGAAACCATAGCCTACCATAACATTAGTTATTATGCTTCCTACTTACACATAGCTCTTCAATGTTGGATAACGCTTGAACATCAGGTCTGCGTACGAGGAATATGGTAGAAATTTCTGATGCCATCCGGATATCATCCGAGCGAATGGGTGACGTGTCTATATAAAATAAATCAGACAAGTTGTAAAGTGTTCACAAAATTTATGGACATATGACTGTCATTATATTGCAATGGTGTTGGTGAGCGCGACCGCATCTGCGGTAATTTGCATTGCGTACCCTATCAAAGGTATATTAATGGTTTTAGAAAAATTCGCCGCAGGAAATTTTGCCGTAGAAAATCTCGCCGCAAGAAATTTCGTCGCATAGGAAAAATCGCCGCGTGAAAAATTCCCGCAAGAGCATTTTGCTGTAAAACAAGTATTTGTGATAAGAACAGTTAGGTTTTTGGGTACCTCTTTATTTCAAAAAAATTCGTTATTCAAATGCATACTCTAACCCTATAAACCTAACAGTTTTTATCACTTATAATTGTTTGCAGCATAATGCTCTTGTGGCGATTTTTCATGCTATCACAAATACTTTTTTTACAGCAAAATGCGCTTGCGGCAATTTTTCATGCGGCAAATTTTCCAATGCGGCGAAACTTCCTGCGGCGAATTTACCGTACACGATATCAATACTTCATAAAATTTTAATGAGCCCACAAATTGTACGTATAACTTAATATGAAATAGACGATGATATGATCGTAATGACTTATCACGTCGAATACTCAAACAGCCTCAAACTCAAACCAAACTACTCACCAGTAATAATCTTCGAGCTTTCGCAGTTGGTGGATTTAGGTACATATCGTCATCACCTTCATTATAATATATCATCTCCTTTCCCTTATTGGTCGACAATTTTTCAGCTGTGTGATGATTTTCAACTGTGTCCTCATACGTATAATATGTCGTGTTTGGGTCGAGACCTGCTTGTATCCTTCGCATGGCCCAAATAGTCATGTGCCAACTCGTACTCCCTGCTTTTGGAACTGCACATATTAAAAGTCGTCGGGGGTAATTGATCAGAAAGTTTTTGTTCACCACCCAATTTTTTCTGAAAGAAAAAGAATAATTGTAATGAGAAAAATTGCTCATAGTGTAGGAATGGTATCACATGCAAACAAAGTTACACAATTTTCAAATATAATCCCACGAGAAAGGAATTCCATAACAGCAATATGTCGGAGATATCAAATGAGGGGCCCAAAATATCATTTAATTATATCATTACAATCATCATGAGTTACGAATTACTGATCCACTTTCATTCAAAGATGTATTCTGTATATTCTAGTGAATACAAAATCTGGTAGAAAACGTAAGTGTAAATTTGTTTTTCAAAAAGCTAATTCACGCACACTCTGTCAGAAGTAAAAGGTACATGCTTCCGAAAACAAATAACTGGTTAATTGGACTGGTAACCGGACGAGAGGCCTTGGTTCGCCATATAATTAAGCCGTCTTATCGACATTCCTCTCCGCCTGGATAAATATGCAAATCCTACCCTAAAAGGAACACATCTTGGAGCGAGGTCACACGATCACTTAGAAACAAAGGAGATTGATATCTGAGCGCAGTAACGAGCGAACACTGAAGTTCCAAGAGATACAGGGATAATAAAGAATCATAGTGTAGAATTACAGGTTAGTACATACCAAATGACCCTAAGCTTGAAGCAGCCAATATAGATACTACCAGGAAAATAGCTCTGATATATAGTGAATTACATATAACTGAAATCTTGGAAAAAATTGGGCATAAAGTTTATTTTTATTTGATAAGTACACTGACACTAAACGGTACAACCTAGTCTAAAAACAGCTTTTTTGTAGGGACAAGTTCCGAAATTTCAGAAGAACGCGTTTCATATATAAGCACAGCGAGGCAAAAATTTCATCGACCTGAAAGGGTTTGCAGTTAAGTCGCGAGCATATTTGATAGGTCCAGGAGGTTTAGTGCAGTTTACTTACTTGAATGGGGAATGCTTCCATGCTGGGCAACGACTTTTCATTGTTTTGACTCTCTTTTGGAACCTTGCTGCCGTTTTTGCATCATTTTCTGGATCTGCCTGAAAAAGTTGTGATTTCTGAGTTAAAATATTCTTCTTCGGCGTTGCTTTTCGTGTTAGCCTTTCGTTCTTGACTTTATTTATGTTTTCTTTCATTTCTTCATTCTGGTGTCGTGGTAGTGTATGTTGTTTGGAATTTTTGAGCTTTCTGTTTATTGGTTCTTTTTTGATGTGGGGTATTTCTTCCTCTAAACTGGATTCTTTTTTTGCTTCTTTCATACCCTCTAGACTTTTATCTGCAGTTTCAAATTTCTCGTGCATCTGCACTATTTGTTCGTTTGATGGTGACAATGAAATATTTGAACTTATTTTTTCGTGCAACAAGAAGAAAATAGAGATAGAAATTCCAGACAGAAGTAATATTCCACGGCGTCTGCGAATCATTTTAACAAAGTTTCGAAATTTTTACCGACCTGAAATAAAGTGATACTTTATTGATACAGTAAACAATATGGCGTTCCTGAAGTATGTGTACTAATATGGAGGAAATAGAACCAAAATAAGGAAAATCGGAATAAAATTATGGCCTAACCCTATCCTGGTACACACACTACGGGAGTATCAACAAAAGTGTGCACTTAATATTCCTGCAATCGAATTTTTGACAGTAAAACTAATTCAATATCAAAAGTATTTTTGATTGAGAAGCAGAAGGATTATTTTCAAAATCCATCCTGAAATGAAAAATATGCAATATATATATAGCAGTTTGGAAGTAACTTCCCGATTGTGCCTAGCAAGTAACATACACTACAATACAGCAATTAGAAATTTTGAGGTGCATTTCAATTCGGGGTGCAATTGAGTATAGAACACGCAATTTTCAGATTCAAACTTTATTGAAATCACCGAACTCTGGTTTAAATTAAACAATTGCTTCAATTACACTTTAAGCTTGCTAGTAAGGTTGGCCTTAGAATACATAAGATATTTTGTTTTGAAGTCAGCCTCAAAATAACAAACATATAGGTCGAAATACGAAATATTTGCCAAAGTTTTAAATGTGATTTAACTATGCGAAGTAAACTATCACCTGGGCAATTTAGACCAGTGAAACACGCTATAATAGAAGAAAAACACGCTCTAATCGGGATTAAACCTTGTGAACATTGCAAATATATTACTACGTCGTACACAAAACTGAAACGCAAACAATAAAATGATGAACAGCGTCATAGGCTTGCACGTAATTTACGGATTTACGGAATTACGGAATTATTTCGAGTTACGGAAGCGAAGTTACGAATTACGTAAAGTCGTAATTATTGGTCGAGCGCTTTGGCAATTGAAACGAGCTCTTTTCAGAGCAGTCAATTCCGTCGATTGTAAAAAATTAAAGTTTAAAAGTAGAAGAAGTTAGAGTTCCGGTATTCGCAGCCGTTTTTCTCTCTCTTGTCACGCAGGTGGGGAAGGCATAACGCGTTGCCATTTAGTAATCTATTATCAACGTATCTAGCATGGCCAATGTACATATTAACCGTAGATAATGATAAATAATGTCGCGCTTATCAAACAGCAATATGACGACGGAAGAGAAATTGCGTAATGAACCAACGCAACTTAGTCTTTTCGGCATCGGTAAAGCGATTGAGCCGGCAGAGAGACGACGGGATTTCCCGTGTTTATTCTGCGCGAGAACCATTTTCTATTACAGAATCTTGATGTTCTGTTACCGGTTTTATCGTTAAATATCTCTCCAGACATGGCCTTGCTCAATATGTTTTTCACAATGCCTCGCAACATTTCGGCCAAATATGATTAAATGTCTTTACCAAATGCGGCAACTTATTTTGATTCATCATCGTCTCGAATACCGCCAGCATTCGACCAAACTTGTGTCAATCTTGGCCGATAGGATTGTCGACTTGAGTTAGAAAAATAAATTAATATTTTCGTGAGTGCAAAATAAATGTCACAAAATGCATTGTTTTGCGATATAACTTTGTATTTCCGGAGAAGGCATGTCATATAAGTACGGTATTTAAATTATGCGCAAATAATTAGTATTTGATCTGAATTATCGCAAATAATGTTATAATATTTAGGCCGCGAAATGATTTAATGTAAAATGAAGCATGGTAATCGGAATATCGTCAATAACTCGGCATCAATAATTATTATAAAATGCTAACTAAGTATTAAAGTCGGATATTGCATAAAAACGGTGAAATAACAAGTCTGATTAATAAATTAGAAACCCGAAATTTTTATTTAATACGAAAGTCCTATTAATACGCTAATACGATTTTAAAAAAGTCAACTATCGTTTCATAAATATCCGTATACCAGTGTCGGTAATGATAAAATTGATCGCATAAAATTGGGTGATAAATGTGATAAAGGAAAATCAAAGCTAACACAAAAGATAAAAATCAGAATAAAATTAATTTGAATTCACTCCTTGATATTTGTCTTTAACACCTGTCGCCGGCGTGTAGTACTGCCGGGAATATGAAAACCAAACTTCGATGTCCCATTCGGAATAGAAGTGGATTCAATTGGTTGTTATGATAGGTTTAAATGCGTGAAAAAAATATCGAAATTACGGGGTCATTACGTAATCGATTTGGCCGTAATTACGGAATTGATTTTTGTCAATTACGTGCAAGCCTAAACAGCGATACGAGTTACGCAGGAAAATTTAGATCTCACATTGTAACTATTTTTCTTTACTTTTATTTTGTTGGATTTTTATGCTTAAAACGCAGGAATTTTCTCAAGTAAAAAAGGGATATCTGTCCTGAGTAACTTTCTAGACATTCATACAATTGTATCTGCACGCATATGGTCGATGATTTTGTCTGCATATTTGATATACACGCTCTATCTAACTTCGACGAAACCCATCTTACATGATCAAATTTATCGGGTCCGAAAAGAGCACCTCCGCACTGTACTCCGTACTGTTTAAGCGTTCGGAATCAGATTCACCAACAAATAGCTGATTTACGCATAAGGTTTTCTCACAAGAAGAATTTCTCAAGAGCAATAACATAATTTGGTTTCAAAGACATGTTTTAACGTATAGATTTTATTATTCTGGGTGATATTCAACATCTCATCGTTGTTTTACTGATCGTATTGGCTTGACTTAGTTCGAGTCTCACGTTTAATGGCATGCACCACTATAAATCTATATAGTTCCGGTAGCTCCATAAGCATTTCAGTGGTTACCTGTAGCTTTCCTACCTCGTAGTGCGTACGACCTCGTTTTGAGCAAATTAATAACGCAAAAATGTTCATTGACTATACTAGAACATATATTCATTTGTTAGCATTCAAATTCATGCCATTTTTCTAACAAAAAAAATAGTCTCGAGTAGTTCTTGTGAGCTGATAGAAAAATCTTATATCTCAACTAATAAGTCAAGCATTAAAATTTTAGGTAGCAAGGCCTACACTAAAAGCAAACACAGCTCACTTCTTACACATGATTTGCAAGCGAAACTCTGTCTTTCCTAAAACACAATCGTTTCTGAATTGCCACCTTTGGACCTGCAGCAGGCATACAAATATAATATCACTGTTGCTCAAGAAATCGTCATATCAGCACTTTTTACTACAATAGTATACCCTATGAATACTTTTGCCTTCAGTTAATTCCAATATCACTGTCGTACATAGTGAATTATAAAAATTCTGTGGGATATTAATTTTAAGTTGCCTTAACCTCGTTTACTTTATGATGTTGAATGCCCTCAGGCAAACTTAGCACGATCTGAACAAGTTCAACACGTATATGACACAAGACCAGTATCCGATAATACCTTCGCAGTGAATTGTTTAATTTCAATTATATTCAACTTAACACGTATCGTAGCAGACATTTAGAAGTTACTCTTATAGCAAAAAGCTACGACATCAGCCCTATGTTTCAAGCATATCAATTAGTTATCGTTAGTTCAATACAACATCTATCAGGGGTGACTAACCTATTTGCTATCGCGGGCCATTTTAAAAATCACTGCTGAGTAAGCGCACAACTTTTTTGTCATTCTATGATACATTTTTATTTTTATCAACTGAAACAAACAACAAACGAAAAGACTAAAACCCATGCATTCATACAGCTTAAGTTATTTAATGAGATATAGCAGAATAAAATAATAAAAAAAATAAAAAATAAACATTGAATGAATTTTTTGCTTAGTGAGATTTTTGGGAACTTCTTTGCTTTAATATTATGTACTAGGACGAACTGACGATGTGAAAACTCTCAACTGCATACTAACTCCCTGCATACTATCTCCCGTACTCGCGTAGTATGTGAACCAAGATGGCGGATCAGGTTAGGATTAGGCCATAATTTCAGGTACAAATACTACAGGAGGCCCTTGGCTAGTCCCTGAACTCGTAGTAGAACTAAAATAAGGAAAATTGGAATAAAATTATGGCCTAACCCTAACCTGGTACACATACTATGTTCAGGTGTCCGCCATCTTGGTTCACATATTACGGGAGCGCCGATTATCGTCTGTCAGTCTTGACCTGTATCGAGATGCACGTTTCGGGTAAGTTCCGGTGGCGTCATCTCACTTGGTCGCGCGCTTCGCTCGGCTAGGGTGTTCGAGATCCGAATTTCCGTTTGAATACCGCAGCATTATTCGAGTACTACTCGAAGTTTTTGATCGACTACCGGGTATCATTGTAAAATGAATGTTTATTGTAATAAAATAAATTGTAGTCTTTGATATTTTATCGCAGATTTAGAGATTTCTCTAACGTCCTTTTAACTTATAGGTGAAGAACTACTGTGTATGAAATGATCCAATTTCTATGTAATGTATTTATTCTGGTTTAATGCTCACATATAACTATCTGTGCTGCCACAAGCTGCATCAGCAGTACTTGTATTAGAATATATAAACGACAAATAACTAAAATTTAAATGGCAGTACATACTTCACATTTTACAGAATGTATTATGACTGAGGATACATGCGATCAGTCAGATTGTTTTATTTATGGTTGAATATGTTTAAATGGCTATGCTAAATTTGTAAGAATGCTATCTTTCCAATTTCCATAATATCACAATTAGAAGCTCAGCTTGTGTAAAGGTTGTGCGTAAAAAGGTGCGAAGTACCACATAGAAATATAAAATGTTGATTACTGTAAGTCTGTAAGATATGATCTTATTTTTTTATTGACTCTATACCTCTTGATGAAGTCATAAAAATGGACACATAAACAAAAAAGAAACTCAGCCATATTTCACCTTGTAATTTCAATATTTGCGTTATACAGTGAGTTTTGCCACAAAGTGGTAATATCTTCTGTTTCATCTTGCAATGGATCACCAGTTACTGTCGCAAACATCATTAAGAAGGCATTCAGCTATCATATTTCAACAAGAAAATTTCGCCACTTCATCACAAAATGATTTTTCATCTCCACAAACAATTGCTTTCAGTTTTCATATATACTAAATGCCGTGCAGTGCAATTCTGTGTACTATTGTCCACTCATATATGCATTCATTTGCATAAACCAGACGGTGATGATTATCGGAGTGACTTCACAGACGCTGTACAGGAGATTTGTTATCATTCCAATGCTAACAGCAAACAACGAATATTTTTCGAGGAAAGACAACAGATAATCACTATGTGTAATTCTCCAAGATATTTCTATTCATTACACATTCCAATGCTAACAACAAACAACGAATATTTTTTGGGGATGTCTTATCTCATCTGCACTTACCTATCTACGTTGTAAAAGAAATAAACTTTTAGTCGTGATTATCAACCGTTATTTTATGTGTTCTGGTAACTCGACTAATTAGACTCATTGACAGTACTGCAACTCACCTCAGTTCTCGACAACTCCAGCTCAATTTAGGTAGTGGGGTTTTGAAAACTTCATCTAGTTTTTTTATATATACTCATCTGTTGTTGAAACAAAATAGTGATTTCCAGTTATAAAAAAGTTGATTAGAGGCTAAAAAACAGGTTTGTAAATTAATAGTCACATTCAATATTTTTATCCACGACCTCCTAGCCTACAGCATACTTAGTCTATACCCAGGCCACATTTTCTGATTTCTGATAGGTAACAACTGGTGATGACCACAAAATAGCATTTTAGTATTGTTTCGTCATGAAAACAACCGGGAAAATCTTCTGACACATTGTCGCATTTCTGATGTCGTTTGATTTACTTGTGACAGAGATAGCTGAGACAGCCAGTGGACAAAAGTGACTTTGGTGGCGTAATTGAATAGTATTCTTGGCCAGCCTAAACTGGTTTAAAAGTCAGTTATTCGATTTCGACACATTTGACTGACTTAAAACTTCTACAAATTGATTCTATATATCTCCTTCTTCGGGAATATTTGTTAACAATATCTCTATAGCAGTGGTTCCCAAACTTTTTAGAGTTGGGACCCACTATTTATTACTACAGCTTATGGTGACCCATCTCGTTACGTATTCGAGTCGCCACCGGTCCTAATAACCAGTATAAAAAATCAAAGCTTTTTACATCTTTCCACGACCCACTAAGATTCCTTTTGCGACCAACCAGTGGGTCGCGACCCATAGTTTGGGAACCGCTGCTCTATAGGCTACATAGGCAACTAAAAACTGAGCTGCAAGTTATGTCGGCGCCAAAAGAATATAATCTAAAACGGCATGTTATCAATGTTCGGGGGCGCTTCATTTATGAAAGCACTTTCTCCCTTGTAAAGAGTCTGAAATATTATACAAGGAACAGATTGAGAGACGAAACATTGTATGCCAGGTAAAAACTTTCGACGACCAGCATAAATGTTGATATAAAAACATTTATAAACATTTATTTTTCTCTCCATTTAAGAAGCGAATAAAACATTTCGCGTATTACTTGAGTGCATGGCCTATTGACTGCTCGTTATTGCTCCAAAGAATAAACTAACAACCCGACCCAGCACCCTTTGTCGTCGTTTCCTAACGTTGAATAAACCTTATACTGGTGCTGTTACATTAAACTTTGTAGAATATTCACAATCTTGTACCTCTTTTCATACATATTACTCCTGACTGCTTGCAATTCAGTTTTTATTCTTTAGAGATTCCACATATATCGCAACCAGATCGCAAACAGGTTAGTGTAAATATAGTGAATTAGTTTTTACCAGAATGTTTCGAATTTACGCTATTATAATTTTACTGGAAATGAAATTTATTTTTACATGAGATGGCACCGAAAGGCTATTAAAATTTGAAATTGGATTTTGAAAAAACGATAATTGCTATTGCGGGAATAATCAATTCTGTTTTTCATACGTTTTTTTCACGAATTGGGCCAATTTGGTGTAGTTTTGTAGTTACATAACAACATAACTAATACATATCAATTATGCTTTTGACACGTTCTCGACGACAAGACCACGAGTTTGTATTAAGTACCCCATGTGGGTGCCACTTCTCAGTATAAAAATATTGTATTCCCATATTTTGGCGAAAATTAATTAATTTCTTCCTAGTTCTGAAATAGGATAAAAATAACGTTTATCGATTCTTCTCGGCACTTACCCCAAAACGATCTAATTTTGTAACGTGAATATACTTAACACATACAGCATTTAGTTGTATTTACAATATTCGTGGTCACTAATTGACATCTCATTTTTACAAACCACGGTCCTGAATAGCAAGCTAAAATGACGTTTTAACACTATTGTCAAATATTTCTAACTAACGCTGTAGCCATCAATTAATTATTTCGTAGAAATATGAAAAGATTGATATATACGTAAATATTTTTAAATATAATGCAATAGATTAGTGGTGTGCAACATTTTTGTCTGTGGGCCATATAACCAACTTCAGAAATCCAGCTGGGCCACATAAAAATGCAGCAAGAGACAAGAGAAAAAAATCATTTATTTATGCCCATGCCAGCGTGTTTTTATTTAATAATAAAAAAATTGAAGTGTTGAATAGGGCCACATTACATGGCCCAGCGGGCATAGTTGTGGCCCGTGTGCGGCCTGATGCACACCACTGAAATATATATTCTGTTACGATAATGATTTTGTTAACTTGAGAGTTTGTTTTAAAATGGCGCATCCGTGGCTCATTACACAACATTTACAATAAACAAGGATTGTTGAATAGGATTGTGTTATTAATTAGCTATTAGCTCTGTTAGCTCGTCCCAGTTGCGCACAGTTTACACTGTTTCACTCTTCTCGATGGGTATTTTGGAAAGAAGGATGGTTGCTCGGCAACCAATAAATGCTACATGTTTATAAGTAGCTCCCAAACCGTAGCTTCGGAAACCGATATCTTCCACTCCAAATCCCCGTCATCTTCTGGACCATAAATGTATTGTTTGTTGTCGTTACAAAGAAGTGTAACTCCTGGTCCCGCTTTGGTATATTGGAAATTTCTGTTGTAAATAAACATAAGTACATTTCTCTGGTTGTTATTTTTTTTAGTTAAATACCACAATTAATGTCTTACGTCGCACTGCTCGAATTCCCAAAAAGTAGATATTTATTGATGTACCAACTTCCAGATGAGAACTTAAGAATGTTACCGGTACCGAGTGTAATTGTTCAGTTCTCCGGGCTACTGGTTTGTATTTGCTGAACAGGATGGTTTTCAGCAAAACCAGAAGATTTCCATTTTTTGGACTGAGTGCCATTTTTTATCTGTGCACTATACCGCGATGGTGTGCTAAGAAATAAACAGGATTTTTGTGAATTGAGCAACATTCCCTGTTAGCTGTGAAGAATATCTCTCTCTATTTTCGTCAAGTATTCTGCTTAGGGATGCGATAAATATATATTCGATGAAAGTACAAAAGTATACTTGTTTATAGTAATTCATATATATATGCAAAATTATCGTGAACGATAAGGTATTATATATTATATTATCAAGAACTCTGTCCATGTGAATCTTAAACCATGTTTATGCCCCAAAAATTCAATTCAATTGTCGCAATACCGCTGTGAGTAAGTTTGGACGTTATGTAAGTTGGAATCAATGGTATATAAATCGTTTCAAAAATTAAAAGTTGAAATAAAATAATGAGTCGTCTTTGTTTATGGAAAATATGGCTCAGCGTGAATTATAGCCAAATTTCTTGCCTCAGTGTGTCGAATGGAGGTGTGGTAAAGCTGATCATCCATTCCATTTCATCAGTGGGATCATCAGTTGTTTTCATCCCTAATTGACCGTCTTGATTTTGCACAAGATAACGGTTCGGCGAGGACTCAGCACGGAACAACATTCTTCCACCAGCTTGCAATACCATAGTGAAATTACTGCAAAACAAAAAAAAACTCTATGTAATGAACTGACTCTATATTGCAAAGTATCTCCATGTAAAAACTGCATTTAAAAATGTAATCGTTTTGAAAACTGGTGATTGTTTTAAGATGTAAAAATGCAGTTATTAGTGTTATTTATTAGTGTTTAATAAAAACTCATATAGGTAAATAAATAATTTTATGTTTTCCTATCACAGTACAAAAAATATTTACATTCCCTTTTCGCCCTGCTTTTTCATCGGGTATTCCATTGTGACTTCATTACCGTTTTCATTCATGTTGTATGTAATATAGAGTTGTCCATCTTCAGAAGGCGTTGCAAATGTCCAACTCGGCTTCTTTTGTGAGGATGTTCTATCCATTTTCCAAAAATGATTTTTATTTGAATCATTCTTGACGCTGATATGACCGTGTTCTTTCACATATTCATCTCGGATCCATTTGTTGTAGTTTTTGTCGCTAATCTCGAATCCTGATTGTTCCTCGCTTCCACTGCAGCCTTGAATGTTTTCTGTGTTAGAAGTCACGAATTTCTTAGTTTTTCTGCCTAATTTCTTGCTGATCCATGACATGGGTATTTTAAATTGACTACTCCAAACAGAAAGTAAAACTTGAAATATTACCGTTCATAAAAATGACGACTGTATACATATATATAAGATAGTTAATGCGTGAATTGAATTTGATTTAAAAATTACAATTTTGAAATTTTACTTCGAAAGTATATTATTCAATATTCCAGCTGAAAAAGAAAATTCAATTTCTGTTAAAACTCTTAATGTTATTAGGTGTTTACGAAAAATGAAAGGAATGCGTATAATTCATATATACCGTAACATCATGGAAAGTACCACCGACTATGCAATATAATAACGTGTAATAATAACTGTTGTGAAAATATCTTCAGTCATGCTTGAATAGAGTGAACAAATGTTAGAATAAATTCCACGCTTAATCAGGGTTCGCACCTGAAAATTCTTAACCCTCAGGAGTCTACAGTAAAATTTGGGGGTTCGTTCGTTATATACGCTGAAAATTGAAAAACAAAAATAAAAAAACTTGCAAAATATGACAAAATGGCCTTCTGGAACAAAACGAGCTGAAATTATTCTGAGTGCATAATCATATAATTTTTATCAATGTGAATTTTCGTACATTTTGCGATGAAGCATTCGCATGTTGTTCTATAAGTGTCAATTCTTGTTCATGTGGTCCAGCTTAATAAATTCACGACTTGATAGGTAATTCGGAAAGCAGGATGGTTGTTCCACAATCAATAAATACAATCAATAATGTTCCGCAATCAATAAATTAGGAATACGCTTACCATCTCACCTTTGATTACCATGCGTGTGGTTTTGAATCTAGTAATTGATAACTATATGTGCGAGAAGATTGCTAGACACCATGGAAGAGCGTTTCGCGTAACCGCTGGTCGGTTACGGCTTTCGCCACGATCAAGTCCGTGCATCTGCAACCATGCCTATTATAGTTCTACAAAATAAATCGGGTTGTTAAGCCATCATTTCCTCGCGAACGTCTATTTCAGATCTGCTGAAAATTTCCTCATCTGACGATATTGTTTTGAGGTGGATTCATTAAAGGCCTGAGCTAATTTATGCTATCGTACATATTTATTAAGTGCAAGGTACCTTGCTTTCAACTGACAGTTGAATAAGTTCAATACGACTACTAGTAGCTGTTACATCATGGCAACGTGGAATGTTTTGAATATACTGTGTAAATCAATTGATAGTAAAATTTAGAATCATCAAAAAAATGAAATTAGAATAAATAATTTTTTTCACATGTTAACAGTCGCAACTGTCGTGACCATAACAACAGTGATAGACGTTTGAATGTGGTGCGTACTTTACAGTTAAGTCTAACAATCCGTCTGAAATCCAACTCAAATATTGAAATAATATACCAGGCGGACCAAACGAAAGTTTTAGAAGGATTTCTGATTTCTTTATCACCGGTCTGTACGACAAAATATAAACATCAGTGAATAATTTTAATCATTTATTCCTCTACGTATTATTACTAATCATTTACCTGCTTGTGTTGTGGCATAAGAGTCGGTTGATCTGATACATTCATTCATCATACGTGATATAAAGCTGATTCCCCAATGCAATCAAATATTTTCCCTCTCGTGTGTAATATTGAAGAAAAGTCGCGTATTCAACCAGCATATCGCAATAGCAATATATTTGTCGCTGACTTAAGGGGATAGATAGAATTTGTAGGTTTGTGAAATTTATCTATTGAAATTGTTGGATTCAGCAATCCGCAACAAATTGGAAAGACGTCATGTTTTGTCAACTTGCGAATTCTCATTCTCTCGAAAACGTTTTTGCTTACTTCCTTGGAAAAACTACGAGTAGAGATAATTAATGACGAAGAACTAATTCACGATATATATTGTCACATGATATTTGTCACATCCAACATCCATTCTCAAATTAATATTATGAAATCAGGCTTTATTCATGAGCAATTTATTTTGATCGGTGGATTTTGCATCCCTGGCTGTCATTGTTTTACTGCCGTTCGCTGATATATATTGTTCGAAAACCTGGCGTTCATCTGAGGCTCAGCAAATTGTTTCGACGTGAAATTACATGATTTGTTTTAAATACATGGCATCGCGTTGTGAAAGTTGCCAGAAATAATACCGAGTAGCCTACATTTTATGACAAAACATTTGCGATGGACTTGAATGGATGTTTCCCCGACACTTGATTCAAGAAAAATTCCTTCTATACTTTACTTTTGAAAAATGGACCTCGTTTTGTTATTGCACCCATGTATGGTGCTGTTAAATTTTTCACTGCAACTCGAAAATACTCGATATGATGACTATTTGTTTATAAGTAAATTACAACATCAATATAAATGGCTTGCGCTGCATTGGCGAAGTTTCTAAATACTATATTTTCGATGATATAATATAACAGCTTCCAGGCGAGAACTGCAGCGGGTTTGTGCCCGATACTAGGCGTGATTGTCCAGTTCTGCGTCCGTGGTATTGGTTTGTCCGTGTACTATACCGCGATTAATACCCATATATGATTAAAAGTTTTGTAAATTACTTAACATAAAATATATACTGTGTTTATTTATTGTCAATATGTCTAATAATCTGATCAATAGCTTCACAATGTGTACGTTCATATTTTATCAAAGATTGTTGATTGGCCGGTGTTGACGGCTTTTGTTATTGCTGAAATACTTGCCTCGATAGTCGATATGTACAACATATGCGTGAATATAACGTATACCTGATCATCCATTACATTTCATCGGTCAGACCATCGGTTGCAAAAGTTTTTGTTCATGTAGCTCCAAATTAACGAGAAAAAACACTCACGGCGTACTTACACGGAAAAATTGCTGCCTTCAAATAAAACTCAATTTTGTGATAATGTGTGCTTTATTTAGGACTTTCAAGGTATTTTAAACATACAGAGCTGAGGAATTGAGGAAAACGTCAACGTTTATGCTCGCTATTTTTTGCTGATTCACTCAAAGCGCGACAAGGTTATTTTAAATTTACTATATACTAATATATATATGAATTTAATCACCTAATTTATATCCTGAAATAACATTCGACAATTCAAAAAATTGTTGTTTTTAAAGCTACTCTATCCCAGTGTCCCAAGAGTTCCTAGTCATTTTCAGCAATCGCTCGGTGCAAAGTAGCTTTTTTACCAAAGACTTAGACTTCAACCATTTGTGAACGAGGAAGCAATGTTGGAATATGTGGACACGAAAGTCAAATAATATGTAAAAATGTTTCTGTAATTCAAGTGAAATGTTCGCTGGAATTATAACGGAACGAAAAATATTTGGGTTGATCATATTCACTCCATGTACAAAATTGGAATGTGTAGAAATATACCGCAACATTATGGTGTAATGCATACCTTACTACCTTATATGAAATATTTGTATCTGAATTGTCATTCACGGCTCGTTGGAAAGTGGCGGTTGAATACAACACACTGGAATAGGCAAATCGTTCGTATCGTTAATTGGAAGCGATGTCTCGAAAATTGTCTTTTCAAGACTGACTATGATAAAAATAAGACCAGATATTTCTCTCCGGCAATCACATGCGCAAAGAGACTTAAAAAGTGACATTACTCGCGCGTTTAAACAAGAAATAATTTTTTTATGGCAGGTGTTAATATTTGCTCAGGTTTGTGGAGACATCGGGATAAGTTAAGTATACTAAATTTTGAAAAATGCTGCGAGGGCCACTCGGAACCCTTCAGTGGGCCAGTGGCCCGTGGGCCACGTGTTGGACGACCCTGTTCTAGATCTTCACCAGCAATGTTCTTTCAGATATTAGGAGAAAGCATCATCAGTCCTCCAGACTTTACCATCTGTCTGTGGCTCTATTCGAGATTGTTTTTGAATCGAATCTAGTTTAAATTTATAAAATACTCTTTGGAGGCAGCATTGAGCAAGAGACGCAATAAACAGTTGCTCCTCATTCTGTGATGTTCAGGCTGTGATACAAATACCCAATCGCTACCACTTGTTAACAATTTGCGCTCAGGGATTTTTATATTCTATTTTATTAAATTTACACTTTAACGATTATTCAAATCCACCCGCCTCCAAAGTTGTAAAATTAAACGTATATCCAAAAAATTGAAAATCTTTTTCATAAATTTTATATAGTCCTTTGATCACGCTCGGCTCCAACTTCGACATATACTTTTTAATATTGTTTTTTACATCTCCATTAACAACACTGCCACCTGGTGGAAGCCCTCGTCTTCCGACATTAATATCTTCTAACCCTAATCTCCGTTTCAACCACGGTTCATCAGCATCGACACTTTCAGCTTTCAATATATACGTATAATCGTATCTGCAAGGAGAGCAAATTGATGTAGCTGGACGAAAATGTGCATCTATTGCTTGGATTGTAAAAGGATTATTTGCCGCGTATGCTGCAAAGTCTTCAAATGCCATAACATGTTTGTCGTCAATCCGTTTTCTGTTTGAAATAGATGATAACATCATTTTTAAATCTAGATATAGGTTGCTACAGTTATTTGATAATACAACGTGGGACATAAATACTAACATATCACGAGCAGCTTAACTTTGACATGGCAACAACAATATTCTAAGTCGAGTATATATAGATGATACAAAGAAAACTTGAATGAAACGTAGTTAAATCTCCCAATTGCAATACTACAAATTGTACGAATTAAACTTCGATTCTCTGAATATTAGAAAAGTTAATTTATTCTCTCAAATCAGGTCAATGTTACACATCATGTAAAAATTAATAGATTACAGTCAATAGTGCATGAGTATTGAAAGCGCTTATCTCTGTCGTCACATTGTCACAATAGTCTGCGGAAAAAAAAAAACAGTGCTTTTTCCATGCTTTTATATATCATCGCAAGTAAGAAAATGCAAATTTCAAGATATTCCCGTGTTGGATTAAATTCCATCCGACGTCAGCAGTGGGTCAAACTTTTGGAATTCGAAAATACAACCAAATATTATCAGAAACACTCAAAAGAATGACTTCTTAGCTATGTTCCAGTAAATCTCATGAATTTCATTTTAATTATCAATTCTTCCATTCTGTGTTTACATACGCAGTTAAATATTATTTACCATTTACCGTTAACTTAAGGTCTGTGTAGTAGCATGCTACTTGCTTTGTATTGGCCACAAAAAATAGAACTTGTAACAGTTAATTCTCTGCAATATGCTCAATTTCCACTACTTGATTTACTTCGATTGCCCAACAAGCACTTTGCAATATAAGTCTAATTATTTGGTTCATTCGTATTCATTGAGATGATTATGATCATGTGTGTGTGTTATGAAAGTATATGGCGCTTTCAACAATTTTAAGTCTTTTGCGCCAGACAACCTTATATCAAACTTTTTATATGCCTATAGTACTCTCTTGGTAGACTTCACAAAATCAACAATAGCAGGGAAAATGCTAGTAGTACCTGTAGTCTAGCAGACCTTTGTAAGCTTTCACAAAATTTACCCAATAATTTATACTCCAAAGAAACTTTTGATTCCAACCTGATATAAATCTTGCAAATGGATGACGCGCCTACAAAACAAAGTGAACTATTTTAGCTTACAGCTATATAACTATGCGAGTTTGAAACAATCATGATTTATTTTAGATTTTAGAATAACCCCAAAAGGAACATATTATTATATTATCACATGTCCTATAATCTCAAAACTATACGCCATGTGTCATCTTCAAGTGTTTAGCGCTAATTTTCAATCCAAAAAACATTTAAGCTCTTAGAAAACATATAAGCGGACCACTTAATTCGAATGTCTGCAGAGCTCTCAGTCAATGAATAACAAAGCCAAGTTGCTTTGATTTTTAGTGATGTTATTATACCTGACTGTTTGACTGTGTTGATTTCATGAAGTTTATTACATACATTTCTCTAAACGCCTTTTCGAAAAAAATTGTGACTTGATTATGATTATATGTGAAAATCTTGATTATGAAAACCAAAATTAAAATAAACTCACCAATAACACACGGAAACTAGATCCTTCCGGGGGTTCTCGAGTAAAATCGTCATCTCCTCTAGTTACTGTAATGAGTTTTAAACCATTCGATTTCGACAGATGAGCGGCTATTCCTTGATTTCTAATGGTATCATCTGGCGTGTAATACTTCTTATCATCCGTACTGAGATTGCTTCTTTTACGTCTTATTGCCCAAAACGTTCTGTGCCACGACGTACTCCCAGCTTTGTACACTGCACACACCAACAGACGTCGAGGAACATCCACCAGAAAATAGAAGTTTGACACCCACGTTTTGCTATAAAATAATAACAAATCAAATGATAATACCAATATCACCATAACTAGTTTGTTTTAAATTGACATATTTGATGGACGGATTGAGTGTATTTTTAATCGTATTTTGACCCGATTCTGTATCCCCTGATTATCAATCCTTGGTACAGGGGAGGACCATTGAGGCAGCCACCCCGGGTAGCACGTTGTAGGGACAGCAGATTCAATCTGTAGCGTTCGCGTTATTGCACATGTTCATCGTTATTACACGATGTGCTTATTTAGGTAAAAACTGACGTTTCGTGCATAGCAGGGGTGGGCAGGGTTTTTGGACCAGGGGCCAACAATTTTGGCCACCTAGACTGGCGGTCCATGTAAGTGTGACGTAAAATGTTACATTTTATGAACAATATTTACAGTGTTACGAAAGCAAAAGTGGAAAACATCGAACGCCTGTTTGCCTTACTGGTTTACATGCTTTTTGCGAAACAGCAATTTTGCGCCTCATTTCTTAGATTAATCTTCTTGTCATTCTGTGGGTTGATAAAAAATGCAAACAATACTTAAATTTTAAGTACTTATACATACTATGTACTTACTGCTTAGTTTTGAGACACCCTGTATACATGTCAGCTTGTTGATTAGTTTGATGATTTAGTTCATAAAATACAAACATCTACCTCTTACTTACTTTATTCTAATGTGTGACAACATCTATAATTTGTTTATCGCCCAAATTATTATTGAAGTTAGGTATAAGAGTTATCATTATCAGAAACTTGCCCTGAGCAGCAGAAAAGCTCGGCACGTCCCTTACTAGGTATATTGGTTCAGAGCAGTGGTCGAAAAACTTATAGGTAATGTCGGATTTAAAGAACTTTTTTGTGTATCACTGCCATACTTGACATTTATTGGAGGCCCACTAGAAAATGCCCGGCGGCTCATGACTGGGCTGCGGGCCACAGTTTGCCGACAACTGTTTTAGAGTATGAAGGACTTCTAAAGGCGGTGCCAGTTACGGACTTTACGAATGTCTCCTATTTACGCAGGTGTAATTCTCTTATAAGACCGTATAATTGTTGATTTGAATTAAAAATTATATTGTCCATTTCAAAAACAATCAGTAAGATTGAATGATAAAAGCACGACAGTTTCTACACAATTGCGATTGGAATAATGTCAGCGATACACTATGCCAAGGTGTGCAACTTGCGACCCGTGGGCCAGATGCGACCCACAAGAAAAAAATTGCGCGGGAATTTAGTTTAGTATGGTACGTGCGAGTAATTCCAATCCCCTTGCTTTGCAACGCCTATACCTGGGACCAATTTATTATCCGTGCCTATGGCGTTGCTGTGCCCTAACAGATAGCTTGTGCGAAGCAACCATTACATATCATAAGATCAATAACCAAAATTTTTGTGCATGCAACTACTAGTCCTATGTTAAATAAAGGTGCGGCCCGCGGTTTCACCCAGTTAATTGTGTCTGACCCTCCTATAGTAACGGTTGCGCACCCCTGAACTATGCCATCAATGTATGTCTAAACGAGTCTACCGATGCAAAAGCCGCTGAAATGAAGCCCAAAATATAGGGTGTTGACCCTATCTTAAAGCAAAAATCTATAAGTTACCTCGGCAAATCTCGATCGCAGGTTCGTCTTACGGTCTGCAGTCTTTTTTTAAATCTTTCAGCTGCTGCTGACCAGTCGTATTTTGCTGCGAAAGTTGTCGACTCTTCTGTAGCAGCCACGGTCAAATTTGAAATACGACTCATGCTGTAATTAGTGCGAGACAGTTTTCTGTGGTTCCCCTGAGTGTGACTTCTACGATAAATATACACAAGAAGCACTATACTGAATATTGATAGCGTGAAGACATTTCGAACTAGTGACTTATACATTCCAATGCGCTGTTTCAAGCTGCTAGAATGGAATACAATAATTCAATTAATATTTGGCCAATATTTTTTATCCAATCGATTTGATGAAGAAATGTAAAAACAACGACTAAAATTTACATCAAGTTCTTTTTCCTAGCATTTCTAAATGCCTCGGGAAATTTGCTGTGTATACGCCACTTTTGCCAGCCAACTTATAAAACCAGTACCGGTCTTACGTTATATTATTACTTGCTACTGAAGCCCCGCGGGCAATTGAATTAGAAGTAATATCCTATGCAAATCAGCGCAATCATGAGTGATATTTCAATCATAAAAACATAAATTAGGAATCAAATAAATATCATCCCAAGTTGATTATTTCTATATCTATCTACAGATTTTATGTCTGACCAAGTTAATAATATCCTCTGATCCAGCTCAATTTAGCAAAGTAATCGATATCTCAGCGTAAAAACCGAAAATACAATTCGAGCGGGCTTATATATATATGCTTTCGAGCGGCCTTTTTTATAAGTTGGCGAGCTGATAAAATAGAAAGGCATTTAGACAAAGTGCATTCAGAATAATGTTGAAATCAACATCTTACCTTCGTTGAATGAGATGACTTTTAATGATGGTATGCAATATTGATATTACCCCAGAGTTTGAAAGAGCAGGTTTTTTTCAATTTCACAATGTAGTATGGCGAAGAAAGATTGAACCCCTCATTAAAAATGTCCATCTTATTCAATAGATATTCGCACATGAGAACTACAGGATAGTCCATAAAAGTACGATAAAACAAAATATCTTATACAGAAATATTTTAGAATCTCAAGCGAAACCATTGCCGATTCAAGAAATTTATGTTTGACAGGTCTCACCCCATTTTTGTAGACCTGTTTATCTTTATAAATCGACTTAATAGTGTTTCTTAATAGTGTCTGTTACAAATTTTAGATGGCGTAGCGCGTTGGGAGTTTCCTGCAAATGGCAACTAAATTAGAATTGCCGATCTCTTGATGGAATATCATCGGGTTTAGGCGGCATACATTATAGTATGTCTACACAGCACACGAAACTATGAAAAATGAAGCAACGTTATTGATTACAAAAAACGTTTATTTACTAATTTTATATTTTGAAACATACTTGTCTTCAATCGATATTTTGATTCGATTCGATTGCCAAGAATCCCCTCATTTTGATTGGATTTTTGTTGCAAATTCCGATGTAAATTCCCAGGCTTGTCCATGGGACATATTTTCTGTCCCATTCCCATCCCATCCCATAACAATTATGCCTGTCCCAACCCATCCCATGGGATTCTCATTGGAATACAATTCAATAAACATTGTTAAATTTAGGTTCATCGTCTACTAAAAATAGGATTACGTGTAAGAAGAGACATGCAAAACAACAAAATTTACGGACGTTGTTAACTTTATATTCATAACTATTATACATGTGTCCATCGGCCCCTTCACGAAGTATATTGATAATGCTGAATATATTTTGCTCATTATAAATAACAAGAGAGCTATGCTCAAATATATGGACACGAAGTCCATAACGAAATGTTTTATCATCATTTCCCTTCAAATCATACGGTTTTCTTGTCTCATGGGAAATACAAATGTGTGCTGTCCCATCCCATCCCATGTGACGTTTCCAGTGGGTTTCCCATTCCCATGCACAAGCCTGTAAATTCCACAAATAGCGCATCTGTTTTAGCGTACCAAGTTTCTCCACGAGTCAACACAGATGCGCTTCCAATTAATGAATATATATACATATATATAGAGAGAGAGTGGGCCAAAAGTAGGATGACAATAATTCTTTATCAATTCATTTAACTGTTAACCCCACATTCGACCCACTCTGTTCATCACCAAAAAAATCAACATCACCTATTCAAAGCCACCAGCTTCTAATGTAGTGAAATTGAATGTATATCCAAATATAGTGAAATCTTGTTCATAAATTTCGTATAATTTTGCTATCACATTTGGCCGGAGAGTTGAAATATATTTTTTAATATTTGTTCTAGGATTTTCATTAATAACACTTCCTCCAGGCCCGATTCCGTGTCTCAGAACATTGATATCCTCCATTCCCAATCGTCTTTTTAACCAAGGTTCATCTACATCTGCACTTTCTGCTTTTAAAATGTAAACGAAATCTAACGAGCAGGGTTTGCAAAGTGTAGAAATAGGTATAAAATGTCCATCCAACGTTTTCATAACTTTTGGGTTATCAGCAGCATACGTGGCAAAATCTTCAAATGCCATTACATGAGTTTTATCAAGCTTTTTCCTGCAATCAGAAAACGTTTCTCTTTAAGCATGATGAAATACGGCTTCAAATTCTAAATCTGACCAAATGTTACCACTACGTAGCAATTTTGCAATCACTTGGGTTCCAAACTTAAGCATCATTGCTCTAATCTAACAACTGTATATTTGTAAACAAATAAAACATAAGCGACTCACGTATATAATTTCAAATTGCGAAATTTTTTGTACAGTTGTCTCCAATAATAATTATCTGTGTTATGAAATTTCTGGTGCCAGCCGGATATGAATCTTGCAAATGGGTGACGAGTCTGGTGACAATAAAAACGTTATTTCACCATCTCTGTGTTTACAGTTACTATACTTGAAAATTGCTGAATTCGATTTTCAGCACAGTTTGGATGATGATAAAACACCACTTATTTGAGTAAAAAGTGACTTTTAAGTTAGTCCTCTCAATTATTTTAAATTGGAATTTGAGAATGACTTATTGGTGGCATAAACACAATGATTCATTACGGTTTGTGAAATTGTTTTAACATTTTAGATATAAACGGATGGAGTATCATAGGGCTGGATTTCGTTTTCTCTTATTTTTACGGATTATCATGAGATGAAAATAAAATAAAACTTAACTTCCTCAGTTTCTATAATTATTTTTCCTAGTATATATATCCCATTTTTGTGAGCTCAACATTATGGTAAAGTTTTTACTTCATACTTAGCTTTGTAATATACATAAACGATTTTTTGACAATTATTATGTATCGAACACGAAAATAGTCATTGTTTTAAAAAAGTTATGAATTTATATATTTAAAAATTTGTTTCTTTTGTTGTCCAATATATAAGCTTACCAAAATTAGTCTGAAGCTTGATCCATTCGGAGGATTTTCGTTAAAATTATCATCACCGTGAACAGACTTAATTATGTTTATTCGGTTTCCGTCAGATAAATGAAAAGAACTTCCTTGATTTCCTTGCCAATCACCATGTGTGAAATATTGTGAATCCATGCTTAAATTTGCCCTCTGTCTTCTCATTGCCCAGAAGGTTTTATGCCAAGATGAACTTCCAGCTTTAAATGGAGCGCACATCAAATATCTTCGTGGTATATCCAGTATGTAATACAAATTCGGTTTCAATATTTTCCTATTAATACAAGGTTGTATTTGAATCGTGAGTGTCGAAGTTTGCACTATACTGGAAGTGTAAAACGCTAACAGGTCACGACACAGAGCATTGATTGTCATGCACATAAAAAGCCCATAGAGGATATATGGCACATCTTATTTCTGATAAAATTTGATTGTTCAAATATACTTTGCTTATTTTTATATTCAAAACTTGGGGCATCTCGGGTGATGAATAATAAAGCAATGTTATGTGAAATTGGCATAGAATGAAGTTACAAGCTACATACTCCCATTAAATTAAAAAAGCAAATGTAAACACATAAAAATATATTTATACAAGTATGTAATAAAAAAGTTATTTTTTTGAATATCAAATGTTTGATATTATGGCATCAATATAAATGCTTACAATATTCAAAAATATCACTTTCCCTTACTGAAATTTATAATTCTTGCAAGCTTTCCTCTTTTGTGACAATCGGTTTTCAAATCGCTTTGCTGTATCAGACCAGTCGTATGGAATTGTCATATTATACGTTTTGTTGATGCGATTGCTTGTACGATCGGTATAATATTTTGAAATAAGCCGAGGTGTAGAAATTTTCTCCTTCAAAAATAGTAAGATTAGAATAACTTGGGGAACGAGGCCCATGAAGCATAATAAACGTAATGTGTGAGATTTCATCGCTCAAATAAACTCTTTCTGTAACAACCTGCAATCAAAAGACTAACATTTATATTTTCAAAGTATAATAAATTAGGCATATCTCGGAGTTATTATTATTATTATTAGTGTGCGCCGATATCTCCACATTTATGAATAGTTTCTGTACAATTGATTTACAATTGTCTCTTCCTGACATGCAATTAGGTTTTCATGTCGCTAGCATCCGCCAAATGATTATATTACTTCCTGGTATAGAATTATAGATTGCGGCCGTCTTACGAACTGATTTATATCTAACAGAAAAACTAACCCTTATTCTACATGTGCATCTTCCATTTTTTGATATAAGCTGACCTGATTCTCTATTCCTGTATACATTCCATAGATACATCTGACATTAGTTTAAAACTGCTGTGTTATTTATTATAAATTGTTCCCAGATTGCCAAGGCCATTCCGTTCAACAACCTGACCTTAACATCTATTCTTGTGAGTTACGCTATCCCACAAGCACGTGTGCCCAGCTATAGGGATTTAAATTCGGTCGCTTTTACCAGTCTACGTGAGCAACTGACACTTTCGAATTTCTTGTTTCAAATAGCAAATTACTTGAAATGTCAAATTACTGCACCCTTTAACAATGGATGACCAGCTGTCTTATCGACTCTGTATAGGAGCCTCGATTTTTTCCCTTCACTTCCTTTGTCTTTTTTATCGTGTTTAATTTCTTATACTTTTAACGATATCATTATCACCATTTTGCGTAACTGCCCTTAAAATCAAACCTCTGTCAAATGGCAGTCCAATATGGCCTCTACAGCGACAAATGGCAGCTGGGGCCATATAACCATCCATCCCAGCATGACGCATTCAATGAAATATAATCATTGTTTGAAAACTTCAGAACTTATATTGGGAAGTTTATTTACGCAAGATAAATAAAAAAGACTGTATAATATAAAGTTTTAAAGAATATATGGTACCCCTGAAGTATGCGCACCAAGATGCCGCACAACCTGAACCCTGACCTGGTACACAACCTGAGTTCAGGTTGTGCGCCATCTTGGTGCGCATACTTCAGGAGGTCCGAATATATATATAAATATTATACTATTTCACGCGTACCACAAATAACCAAAAATTAATCGCATTCGTATTTTCTCATTTGTAAATAACTGTTCACTACCATTGTCAAATTATCGCAGACTATATGCTTCACAAAATAGAAGTTACTATAAACCGCAATTTGAGGTTAAAATACTACCAGAGATAATTACGCAACGACTGTTTGCAATCTCACCTAATTTTGCTCATAAACAACATCGTCCTGTTTTTATAATTTTGTCGAAAATAACAATAAAAACGAGAAGAAGAATTTGAATTATTTGGACCAGACTCACTATTCGAAACCGCCAGCTTCCAACGTGTCAAAATTGAAAGTATACCCAAAATATTCAAAATCGTCTTTGTAGGTCCAGTAGAGTGCTTTGATCAATTTCGGACTCAAAGTCTTCATATATTTTTTAATGTTTTCAACTAAATCTCCATTGACAACGCTTCCTCCTGGAGGAACTCCTTTTCTTCCGGCGTAAACGTCCGTGAGATTTAGTCGATTGAGAAACCATGGTTCGTCAATGGCTACGCTTTCAGCTTTCACTATGTATGTAAAATCATAATAGCATGGTTTACAGAGCATAGTTGCAGGAATGAAGTGAAAATCTATTTGCCCAGAAAGTGCATTATCTATTATATATCTGGAAAAGTCTCTGAAACTCATCACGTAATCTGTGTCAACATCTCTCCTGTGAGTTTGAAAAATTTAATAGTAAGCAAGTTAAGTATGTAATATTATAAGAAGGAAAGCAAATCAACTTGAATTGTCCTAATGGAATTGTCTTCCCGAACTCACTCCAGACAATTTTCCTCGAGATCTCATAGCGGTATTTTAAATAGATTTTGTTTAAATATGCACCGTGCTCAGATAACACTGTCAACGTTGTTCGAAATATTTGCAAAAAATTGAGTGAAATATAAAAGTATAAATATGTCTTGCCAGTTGAATGTGTTTTTATGCTACGATTCATAATTTTGGTATAGGAATTCATACGTGTTGTTTCATCTCCGGCTAATATACGGCCAATCAAGATCGTTTACCAAAGCCGACATGTAAATAACTGAGTGTATTTTCATTCACTGTTGCAAAATGCCGTATGGGAATGAATATATACATTGGATTGCTCTCTGTGGGGAAAATTATTTCATGTAACTGCTCAGTAGCATCACATGGACCGATTTATTTGCCTTTCCTGATTTTCGAGATGAATATTGAAAATCTATCTTACTTGTAATCCAAGAGACGTTTGAAGGTTTTAAATAAATAGGCCCAGTAATTTGATTTCACCATAAATTTCTGATTCCAACCCGATATCAATCTTGCGAATGGGTGGCGAGTCTGGAAACGATAAATTTTTAAAGGTTAGTTATGACTGAGTATAAAACTTGGTCTTTTGAGCTTTTATGAGTCAGTATGCGGTCCTTGTCTTTATTATAAAATCATATTCATTAGTATTCAACTTGGCGTACCCGATTCATTAAACTAGCATATTCATATCAAAGTTCTATTGGAGCAAAAATGCTGCAATGCAGTTTTCTGAGGCAAAGTCGTAGAGATTTGGAATGAATTCAAGCTATTGTAACAAAACAGATTTGGATAAAGATAAAATAATTTGTTGACAAAAACATCCTAAGTCGGCGTACCACGTAATGTACAACCATCACTTGCGTTATATCGTAGCGAGCAGAAACTAACCAATTACTAAAATTGACCACTAATACACAAGAAATGAAAATGCTCACGATATAACATACCAAATTTAAGCTATATAGAGGGACTTCCATTGCTGACTACACTGAAAAAATAGATTTATATGGACGTTCCCCGACCCTTGACCCCTGGAAGATTCTTCCTATACTTTATCATTGCAAAATTTCCGAAGCTGATTTTGAGTGTTTTGGCAATTTGGCGTTTACAAACTGGCTCACGTGTTCAAAACTATCATTTTTATTCGAAACAATAAACCAGGTGCCGTTAATAGGTTCTTTAGGCTAGTCCAGGGCTACTCAACTGGCGGACCGCGGTCCGAATCTGGACCTTTCGAGTATTTGATTTGGACCGCCCCTACTTCTTTATTTTGGATCATCATCCCCACTTTTGAAGTTTCCTTTTATAAAATGACTTTTGTAGATTTGAATATATATATATATATATATGAAAAGAACTGCAACACCATGATAAACAATCTCGGTTAGCTAATAATCGTCAGCCCGCCGAGGAAGTGCGCGTTTAAGGATGCTGAAATACAAAATCATGGAAAGACCGGACCTAAATAGTTTTGAAGTTTTGTATGCTTTTCGTTGAAAATAGTTGAGTAGCCCTGGGCTAGTCTATCGCAGCGTTTGCGGTATCAATTTTTGATTATTGTACCTATACTAAAAATCGTCAAAAGACACACTGACAATTAAGGTATTTAATTTACAACTAATTTTTAGAAACACGACTAAAAACTGACAAATAACACGAAAACTAACAAAAAGAGCAATGCATACAACCACACTTTAAAAGTTTCAGAAATAATCAAGAAATCGATGCTAGGGTAAACATCCATTATGGGTACTAATGCAACTCAAATCTTTTTGGGTCTTAATTTCGACTAGTAGGTAATGATAGAATATACTATACGTGAAATATATGTTTCTTGGTTTACTGGCTCGTTAAGCTACCCCGAATTTTAGTGAATTCAAGGTATCGCAATCCACCGAGTAATAATTTTGCTGTCGTGACGCGCTCGACAAATGTAGTTTCAGATTGACCGATAAACTGTATCAATTTCGTGCCCATACATTTGTGCATGGCTCTTGTATTAATCGGAAATGTTTTGCTCGTTTTTATGATTTTATTGCATGGTTTTATCTGGCAGTTTATATTTTCTCATTTGTTATGATTTTAATGTCTTTAAGTCAGTTCATTTTGTGCTATATAGTATAAATCAAAAATAAAATGAGATGCTCCTCTTACCAATAAGATACGAAAACTAGCATCAGCTGGTGGATCAGTATAAAAATTGTCGTCTCCCGTTGTATGCCGCATCAGAATCCCTCCCTCTCTAGAATTTAATTTCATTACCATGGCTTGGTTGAATACGCTTATTTTATGGTTGTACAATGATTGAGGTGCATCAAGGCCTTCACGCTTTCTTCTCATGGTCCAAAGAGTTCTGTGCCAAGTCGTCGTACCAGTCTTGGGTACAGCACATATCATAAGTTTGTGTGGCATATCTACGAGAAAATTGTGATTCTTTACCCACCGGCCTCTGGAAAAAATGAATCAAGAATTGTGTGTAGTAATATTATTGTTATCTTTTCTCAGAACTAAACTTCTGACAATCAAACTGATAAGTGAAGTAGAACACCATTTTCAATAAATTATTATTTAGGTTCGGATTGCCCCGCTTGTCGTTTTTTTTTTAAGTGAAAAATACATTTTCGTGAGAGTGTAGTCGTCTTTGATGTTTTCAAGTTTGTGTCTAGGATGTAGATGAATTGCTCAGCCTTGTCAATTACTCTAATAGGCAATTGAGTACAACAAGAAAAATTACACTACACTAAAACAATAATATATATATATATATATACATGAAATGATTTGTCTGAGCAAACTCACAATACACAAACACCACGTACTTCGCCTTCTTCCAACTTTTCAACTTCCTTCATATCAAAAATTCAAATACAGCATTCTTTACCTAAGCCGGGGGTCAATATGTGACTTCTTGCTACATATTCCATGGAGGTGCTTCTTCCTCATATAGAATCTGTTAGCAGCATTTTTCCAACTATATGCTTCTGTTTTTATTGTCGTTAAATTCTTACTCATTGTTGTTAAACTATTGGATGTGGTAGCAAGAGTATTAGGCCTCCTGTCGGTTTGCTCCTGATTCTTGATTATTATTACTGACGGCGTCCATGTAGAATAATAGAGTATACACAGAATTATAGGCATAGTGCAGATCATTCCGATCATCTTTACTTTGCGATGCCATATCATTCCTTCCTTTATTTTTGACTGAAAGATTTGATTATAAGTGTCTTTGATGCAGGTTATGTTGCGTTCTTGAAATCTTTTTGAATGCCAAAGACAAACCCAATTCCGATAAACTATACTACAATTTTACGTATACTGTAAAAGTAAAAATAACGTTTTTTTTTACTCAAATGCTAAAATACTCAAGAAGTGCGGTAAAACTTTGTTAGCTGATCTAGTGGCTGGTAGCAATGAAATTTTGTACAATATACGGTACTCGCCATCATTTCTATTCGCGGCATTGCATTTCTACGTAAAAATGGCAATTTTCCATTGCCTTTAAAAAGGCTTTCGACTCGGACTTTACTAAAGGACACCTTATGTGAATTAAGATAAAATATCCTGACCGCCTGCTGTGAATATCACACTCATTCAACGTATCGTATAACCTTGCAACATTTAAGCATAAATTGGTCGTAGTAGATTAATTACAATTTTTTACCCCTCAGGCAATGTTTAGCGTAAATATCTAATTCAGGATTGACAATTTAGAATTGCACTATTTTAACATATTGGACAATTTCGACGATAAACTCGTATTCGAAAATTCATTTTTCATTGCAATAGACTCGAGTGTCATAATTAATAGTATCGTTATTGATCTATTTGAGGGCAAAAAATTTTTGCTGGTTCCCATCGGATCTGCGTGTTAATGCTTAATGTTAATACTTTCAATTGTATCTTATCATTATATTGGTACTTATTAATCAACGTAAACGTATTTTCGGTACGACACAGAACTTTATAAAATGAAACAATCGTCCTAACATTTATCCATATAACAACGCACTGGTCTTTGCTAAAGAAACGGTGAAACTCATTTGCAATACAAGATTATAACAGGCCGTAATATCAATGCCTGATTCAACTAAGTAGAATATATTGTGATTTCGAGACGTTCTCCTCGGTCTTCTATTACAGACGGTTACCATACTATACAGTCGTAAAACTATTGTGCACTTGAAGTACGAATAATTCTGTGGAAGGGTCAGTGGTATACGTGCAGTTTGTGGTCCTGTGCAAAGTCCTCCAAAATTGCTATTACTCATGCGATAGAGATGTTTGAACTAGAAATTTAAACTCGACATTTCGGCCTGGTACATGCAATGACTTCAATCATATATTGGTGCTCCCGAGGTATGTGCACTAAGATGGCGCACAGCCTGAGCATAGTATGTGTATCAGGTTAGGGTATCAGGTTGTGCGCCATCTTGATGCATAAATTCTGGAGCGCCGATATATTTATACGGCAATTAAATTTAACGTCTTATTTCAATAACTTTTTATGAGTGACCTATCCAAAGTCAGAGTAGATTTTAAAAAAAAAACGGTGTTTGTATTTCGGGCTCCTTTCGGCACCCAATAAAACAGACCGACTACGAGATAATAAATAATTCAGTTCCGACCCGAACTTCCAAATTTCAAGGTTTAAGCTCCCAGTTGAAAGCACCATCTCTCGAAAACAAATTTTTATAACAAGCGAATGTGCAAAATTAGGACAATAAATATGTCATTCAAAGCCTCCGGCTTCTAGTGTTGTCAAGTTAAAAGTCTATCCAAGAAAATCAAAATCAGCTTCGTATAATTTGTACAACTTCTGAACAACTATCGGTGGTAACATTGACATGTATTTTTTTATGTTTTCTTTGGGATTATTATTGATCAAGCTTCCACCAGCTGCCACGTTTCTCTTTTTGCTGGTAACGTCTGTTAAATTGAGTCGTTTCATCAACCATGGCTCTAGTCCGGAAGATAAGGGGACCTTTTTGGCCCAAGTTTGATTTCAGACATAAAGTTTTTTTATTTGTGATTATTCATCTTGGGGTCATTGGCCATCATTTCTACATGAGTGTGGAGTTTGCAGCCTTGAGCAATTTTTTTTACGGCTCGATATTTTTATTAGTGTTTTTCGTCAAACCTGTGCATTATAATGACGCACCTGTTGCAATACTATGTTCAGGTTGTGCGCAATCTTGGTGAACAAACTACGCAAGCACCAAATTTACTAGGAAATAAAATCAATAACTTTTAGGTATTTGTTGAGCCCAGCTTTGGGTCGCGACCCATATACAGTACATGGAAATACTGTCGAAACATACGCGTAAAATAAAGAGTACAGTTCAAAATACTAATTAACAATACAAGCCTGCTAATGCAGTCGCCAGTGGTTCAAGTGTATATACACCCGGTGGAGAACAGTCAATTATTTGTTAGCGAGAATTGTTATGCAGCGGGATGATCACGACGGCGCAGTGAAAGATAATGATATCACAAGAACAAGAATGAGAAAATTGCTACATTTTATGGTATATCCCTGGGAAAAAATGTAGTTCATTCTTATGTTCCATGCCAATGCTTTTCAAACTACCAAAGACTCTCAACACTTTTACTTCTTCTCTTCTATAAAAAAACATTATATTATTATGTATATGTTATTATATATTCGCATTTCCATCTGTTTGTTCGTGCTCCCAGATAACCGATCAGCGGCCTCCAAGGAGGACGGGGTCCCCTATTAAGAAACCCTGTCATAAGCTAAAAGAGGCGATCATGCTTCTCTTGCCTGTTGTCATGCTGTTCCTGGAATTCAGCTACAACAAAAATTTCATGAAAACGGATTTTTAAATTTTATGACTTTATTATTATTCTCAACAATGAATGATATACGGGTGGTAAAATGCCAAGTTATTTCAACAACATGATCATGTTTTGCAATTTACAACCAATATTTTGTATGTAACTTTGTTTGAACGAGCCCCAAGAGCTCTAACTACAAATATCAAAAATGTGAGGCCTAAAAAGTCACACTACAACTTTGTCAAATGTGCTGTATTTACGATAGATAACAGGTTTACCAGAAAGAATTACATGAAAAATGGTAAATTAAAGATCAATTCAGCAATATCTACTTGGTGATATGCATCTGTTGATGATTTTATGTGTTTGTTTCGGAAGTTCAATAACAGAATTAATTGTGGTTGTTGGGGATGTTTTAAAAAAAGGTTGCATGGAAAAAAGGTTTCACAAAATGTCAAGGTTTGATAGTAGTAGAGAAGTAGAAAAAAATAATGTTTTTTTTTCTCATTTGATAACCACGCCACAGAACTTCCCCGATAAGTATACGCAGCAATTGCGAGAAGCAGAAATGCCAAGATGGGATTTCATCGCATTGCAAACCAATATTAGCAATTCTTATATATATTCGCGCATTCCCATCTGAACAGCGTGGAAAAGATTATACCCATCTACACACTTTGAGAACTATGTCAGATGAGCGTCATATTATCGAATATCAGTAAAGGAATAATGCAATGGGAAAAGACATATGAGGCGGAACTTTCAGTAGTATGCAATCAAATAATCTTACTGTAGAATATAACTTTAAAAACATTTCGTCACGCCAACTGCAGTCCGAAACTTTTTGTCTCTGGCTGAGCGCGGATACCAATTGGCACAGACTAAGAGTTTCCATCCCCCAGCTGTCATTTGAGTGGGTACTGCTGTTTTTATTGCAGATGTTACTGATCTTTTTGTATTAAAGATTTACTGGCATCACCGATTTAAGGATGTTGGAAACCAACACGCAATATTACAAAACTTACTTCCAACACGCGGTTTGAATGAATGAAAAAGCTGAAACTAATATTCTTTAGAACAGCATACAAATTCGCAGGAAAATGTGTGTGATGTACTAGTATTCAAAACGTTTGACTCAACTATGTTGGCATAACAGGTGCACATCTCGGTTTCGCATACGCATACCTTCTATCTCCACAAGGATTTATTGATTTTGCCAAAATCAATGCAGCACTGAAAGGTTGCGGTTCTTGCAAAAGAAAACACGTTACACATCTTTAGATACCAGTAGATGGTTTTACATGGCCTTGTTCGGAGTGAAATACGAGGTCAAATATTCCAATCCAATTCAACTAATAAAATATTTGCCAAGTCCCTAAGCTTAAACTAGGAAAACGAAATGCGCGCGGCAACGCAAATGTAGTTTGAAAAGCGCAATAGAAAGTGGCTAGATAATGTCGATGGATCTTGGCTTGTATTAGTGAAATAAACTACCATTTATTCTACTAAAATTGAATTTCTGACATTGTAAGGAGATTCAATGTTACTATGTATGCAAAACTAAACCATGTAGTTATGAAATAATTGTTTTTAACAAAAGGGCGCTCCGGAAGTATTCGTACCAAGATGGCGCACAACCTGAATATTGTATGTTTACCAGGTTGGGGTTCAGGATGTGCGTCATCTTGGACCGAATACTTTAAATCCACTTGAAAAAAATTGCTCAACATTATATACTCCACACCCACCTGGGTATCATTATATATGTCATATACATTATATCTAAACAATAAAAAAAAACTTTATGTCCCAAAACAATGTTAAGGCCCGATTCTGCCGGACTACTCGTCTTGATCTACGCTTTCTGCTTTCAGGATATAGGTATAGTCATATTCACATATTTCACATATTTTCGATATTGGATGAAAATACATGTCGAAATATCGTCCCTTGCCGTGAATATTTGCGATATAAGTTGCAAGATCTTTAAATGAAAACGCGTGATCCTTTACGATGTCCTTCCTATAATCAAAATGTTTATTTTCTCATTCAGAGCAGCTGAGAAAAAATTGGAAGCCTTTACTCGGAAAAATAGTTTGCTTGATTAACTAATTAAAGCACTCGGTTACGATTCATATATATGTTTCAGGTGAGGTAAAAACGACATTCAAATATCCTTAGTAAAAATAACACAAACTGAAATTAATACTCTATTGCCAATAACTCGCAATGTAGTGAAAAACATTGATATTCTCGCACATTTTTTTCATTCATAAATGACTCTATCACATATAGTTTTAACAAAAACTGATAACCAACAAATAAAAGGCTGATAATTTTCATTTTTTGTATATGACAGAGTTTTCCAATTTCAAAAGTATAATAGATGTATTTTGGTTTCCAATTTTCATTTTGGTGAAAACCTCTCAGGTGATTAAATACTTAGCAACTACAACGAGCAAACTATCACATAAAATAAGAAAAACTACATAGTTGTATAAGTCTTTAATAATGTTGTCCAATAGTTTGATGTTTTAAGAAATTTT